AGCTGTGCTGTTCTATCAAGGAACGAGTTTTCGCAGAGGGTTGTTCGATATATTTGTCGATTGACGAAATAATGTGTGTGTTGTCTGGGCTTGTCGAGTTCGTCTGGTTGCTATTGCTAGTGATATTAGATATTTCTGAAATTATTTCCTATGGAAATATCTGTGTAAAAGTTGAAGATCGCTGACTTTCCTGTGATGTTTCAATGATGTTAAAGAATTAGTGAGTGTGAATCACCTGCCTGGCGAGCGAGTTCCTTTAAATGGCATCTAGGAGCATCAGCATAATTATGTTTGTGACGTTGAACCCTATATGTGGAGCAGTTTGCTAAAACAGGTCGTATCTGTATTTTGTAGAGTAGCTTTTCGTCTGAAATAAAAATTCTAGTTCTTGTGTAGCAGTGCAATCATGATGGATCTGTTTGTCATATGGTATCCTTATTTTGGTTGGAAAGAATGGTACCTTGTGATCATTTCATATAGTTGTAGACATTTCACCTGATAAGAGAGGAATGATTCTTCGTGATGAATGATAACCTGTTTGGATATATTTCTCTAAGATGTTAATTCATATACGCTGTTTAAATTTTTTGGTGCCACAATAGGTGTCAGATTATTAGGTTTTCATCTCTTGGATCGTACGAATGAGAGCTCCTATGATGGTTGAAGAAAATCGCGCATGCCTATAGGGAGGATGGACGGAGGAGGTAAGGTATTGAACACTTGGAGATCTTGGAACTCGGTCGAGGTTTCACATGATATCTCTAGCAAGTTCATCTATCTTACGTTATTTTCAACGTCGACCATTTGGACAATGCTCCTGAAATATTATTTCGATTCTGTTCCTGAGAACTTTGAGATTTTGCCCTATTGAAATGTATGCGTGGTCTTCTTTCAGAGTACTCATTGTTATTGAAAGAGCTAGGTATTGTAAGCCTGGTATGACATCAGTTGTCGTAGAAAAAGTACAGTATTTTATTCGCACATCTTCTTAATGACATTCACTGTTCTTAGTACAGATTTGTTTTTCACGTATCTATCGTTAGTATTATTGATAAAGCCTTATTCAAGGTTGATGAAGGATAACGTAAAAATATAGGCTATTCACGCCGGTTGTTCTGCTCATTTTCCATTCATTTTGTTGATATATAACAATCGTTGAAACTTTGTATATTGTGATCTCCGCTTGGAATACTCTTTATTGTTATTAATAGGTGTAGGTATAATAATTTTTTGTCCGAAAATTTTGCATGATGGATATCGTGTTTGTTATATCTCAAGTAAAAAGAATGGTTTGTTTCCATCATTTTATATTCTTGTTGATCAATTTTTTTAATAGTTGACATATCATGCGATGTTCACGTTCTGCTTGGGAGTAACGATTATTAGAATTTTCTGTGTATTATCTCTGAGATCTTCAGACTTTGCAAATAGGTATTATCGTTGAGGTGTCTTCGCAGTATCTGGAGTTATCTGATGTCGTAGAAAGAGTATAGTATTCTATTCACGCATTTATCGTATGACGCCTATTGTTCTTAGTATTCAGTATTTTTAAGGAAGCACTATACTGGCTATTTTTATATTTTTCATTCATTTTATTGATATCTCATAATCATTGGAACTTTGTATATTGTAATATTCACTTAGCGTGCTCTGTGTTATTCACAGAAAATAGTACGACGTTTATATTATAGGAATATTAATTAAATTGAAGATTTGATAATATAGCTTTGAGTGATCAACCATTGATAACTATATTGATTTCTGATATCGTAGTCAATTAAGTCCGTGGAACTGTGTACGTGTGTTAGGTATTTTGATTCATCCGCCACTTTGCCTAGTAATAATAATATGTCCTAGTTACTATGTGAGTGTCTACAAACATGATCTATCACATATGGATATTGTATTCCAATATCGCAGACAAGGCAGTGTTGTGTATAAGTGTTGGATATTTTGATGTACCTTGTATATACCTACTATGTGTTAGGTTCTGCCTAATGTCAATTGCTGTATGGAAATTTTCTTAAATGATCCACTCTGTATATTTGTTTCTTTGTTCATATGAATCGTCGGTTGAATTTCACATGTTTCTCCTTTCAAAGAATGTATATCCACGTAAAATAAATCATTCCGAATAATAACATTTTTGTATGAGAGGTAACGTTCCATTTTTGTCCTATATTTTCCCTATTATTTCTATCCGAGAGGCCTTTGAGTTCTGAATTTTTCTATCACGTTATAGTGATAAACTCCAATTCTGAATTATAAGATCATGGCTGTGATATGGGATAAATATAATATATTATTTTACTTCAATAATTTCCTATGATAATGTTTTTCGGATATAATAATTATATCGCAGTAAACAGGAAATCGTTATCGGCTGGCATTGGTAGAATCATTCTTCTTTCATTCCAGTTCATTCAGTTTGATATAAGGAATATGTTTATGAAGTTATCGCCTATTTATTTTCGAATTTTTTGCATGGACAAATGAGGGGTGATTGGTTATATTTTTTGTTGAATCAATCATTCTTCATTTCTATTCATTAGTTCGATTTTCAACACTACCTGTTAGGAGCTGGGGTTTTTCCCAAGTGTCGGACTATACTCTGTTCAGTGTCATGTGCATAGTTTCAGTGAAAAGTGTCTGAAAATGGTGAATTTCTTCGCTGTTCAGGTATTTATATCCTATTTTTTCCTGTTTGCATACGGGGTAGCTCGAACTTCGTGCTTCTGAATATCTTCGGAATACTCTTGAATACCTCTGAAGACCTCTGAATACATCTGAATACTTTTTGAATACCTCTGAAGACCTCTGAATACATCTGAATACTTCTGAAGGTATGATCTGAAGACCTCTGAATACATCTGAATACTTCCATAAGAAAAACGAGCTTTGCTAAAGAGTTGTTCGACATATTTCGACGTGGACGGTAAAAGGATGTTTTTACTGGGTATAGGTATGCTGAGTTCGCCTGATGTCTAATATTATCATTATAAGTATAGAGAATTTCAAGACTCTGGCTATGTTTCTGTATATAGAAACTGCTATTCGATCGTTTGTTATCTGCCTCGGTCATCTGCTGTCATGTCATCAATCATCCATTTGATTGAATTACATCGTGATTGGGTTCATGGTAGTTCGATAGTTTGTTTTTCATTATTATTTGAATGAGTGGTAATAAATTTTGAATTTTTTCTACCCCCTGTATATGTTTTTCAAATAATTCATTCGACTCGAGATTTGTGACTCATTCTGTATATGTTTCTTGAATATATATTCCACTCCACTTATTTGACTCATCCTGTATATGTTTTTTCAGTTGACTTAGGTTTTTCTAATCGCTTTGTATATAATGATATTCGCGAAAAAGTACGTAGATCTGGGGAAAACTCTGCTTTGTTTTACGCAGTCACTTATGGGACGTAACTTGTAATTTCCGTAGAATCTAGGGAAAAATTAACTCTTTCGCTTTCTTGAAATTCGTAGGTTGTGCTAAACCTGGATATCTGTTTTCGATAAGCGCTGGAAGGTTACGTGTCATACGTAATATGTCATCTATCGAATAGTATAAATGTCATCTGTCATACTTTAGTTGTTGAATGTCTGAATAATTCGATTTTCATTCTACAACTTTACCACCCTGTATCTCAGAAATAAAGCCATTTCGGACTGAGTAAGTTCCTTTAATCCAATTGAATTTAATTGATCTGCCCTATACAAGTCTGTATTACTATTTGAAAGCCCTGTATATTCAACGGACTCTAGCGAGTCATCTGTCGTACGTTAATATGTTCGCAGGGGGTCCGCCTGTCAGTTCTTGCCTTCTTGTATATATTCTTATTGCTATCCAAACACCCCTGTATTATGATCGGAATCGTCAAATAGCGTCATCTGTCACACTTTTGCTGAGTTCACCTTTAACTTCTTGCCACGAGTGCCCTATATAAGTTTGTATTGCTATTATTGCTGTATATCAAACGGATACTCTATCATACGTATGTTCGCTGAGTCTACCCCTGAGACGCCCTGTATATATTTTCTCATCGCTATTGCTAACTCAAACACCCTGTATATATCATGTTATTGAACGAGTTTTGATAAAGAGTTGTTCGACATATTTCCATCACATAACTGAACGTTCACACACACACACATTTCAAATGATATCTCATAAACCTTGAGACTTTGCATATAGAGAAACCATTATTTTCGAAGTGCCTGTTAAAAATCCTTCTCTTAGAGTACCTGCACCCTCTTCAACCCTCTGATACCCTAGAGTGGGGTAGTATTACTGCGAATCACCCTGTATATTTTTTCAGCTGATATACAACTCAAACACCCTGTATATAGCCATTATTGGGTGAAAAATTTAATTAAATGCGCACCGTTTTGCGTTTTTGGTCATCTGTCAAATGTCAAACGTCAGGCCACGAGTGCCCTATGCGAGGTTGTATTGCTATTATTGCTGTATATCAAACGGATACTCTGTCATACGTATGTTTGCTACCTGTGAGACACCCTGTATATACTTTTGTATCGCTATTGCTAACTCAAACACCCTGTATATTGAATTAAATTATTAGATAGCCGACTTGCAGGTCGCCTAGTCACGTGTCATCAATCCTTTGTTATCTGTCATACGTCAGCTGTCTAATCCCTCAAAAGTGAATGAGTCGCCCTGTATATTTTTTTACTGTTATCCAACTCAAACGCCCTGTATATATTTCTTTCAACTCAAACACTCCTTCCATGCTAAAACATGGGACCGTGAACCGTGGGACACTCTGTATATATTTTTTTATTCAATTTTCAATCAACTCAAACGCCCTGTATATGAAAATTCAATCTTGTTATTGTCATCAAAGTGTTATTGTTGCGGTTTCGATAAGCTCGCGCCAGCGTGGAATTAGCACCTTGCGGTTAGGCGGCAACATCAAAGGGTAGAGATTTTCCCACGGTCCTCGAAATTTTCCCAGGCCATAGTAAGGCCCTACCTACTGGTTTAATGTCGCAGATTTTCTTGATTTTTTCTTGGAACAGTTTGGGTTCTAGGAGTTTCATGGCTTCTGGTACTGCATGGAAGTGGGCTAAGTCTTTTATGACAGTTTTGGCACCGTCAAAGTCGAATCCTTCGTGTCTATCCATATTTTGGTAGCCTGGAAGAAAAGTGAAATTCGAAATGAAGACATAGAGTGATCGAACGATTCTAACTCAGCAAACATAAAATCTCTGGTCGCCTTCTGGCCCAGTACATATGATAGATCGGCAGATTGCTGGCCATGGCCAAGCTGCACTGGTCAAAGGTCGGCACGATGTATGGCGTATTGTAATCTTTTGTGTATAATTCAGCCGGCACTGGGCCAGTCGTGTCAATTCGTATTATGTTTTACCTACGTCATACAAATGGTCTACCCATTATTTGGAATATTGAAATCGTTTAACTATAAAATCTCCCGACACAGTGCCAAATAGAGTATGATTCCAGACGGCACCAGATATTCCATGAACATTCATAGAGTATTATTTTTGGATATTGGGAATATTCATGTACATGCCAGGGATATAGGTAACCTATATCTCCTACGGAATATATTCCTTGAATGTGCTGGTGGAGATACGATGGATTTCTACCACTTTTACGTAACAGAGAATTTGTCAATATTTTGCAGATGTTTGTTTTTTACCCTGTTAGAGCCAGATCACCATGAATTTTCATCAGTGGACTATCTGTCGTATAACCATACCCAATGGATTTATCTTCAAAATGAAAAAAAAAACGCATCCGAAAATGTGCAAATTTCACGAAAATATTCAATGTTGCATTTACTGCGAAAATGTAGATTGATCAGAAGTTTCTATAGATGCATGATTATCAAAATATTGATAATGATTATGAACGATTCAAAAGAATAAAATTTGTAAATCAAGTTTTTGAGTGCTGATAACACGCAACAGGTATTTGATAATGATTATAATTGAATGATATCTTATTACAACGAATTCCTGAATTCCGATAAGGAAGTGAAGCATATTCAAAATATTCCATTATATAATTTTTTATTTCAGCTACCTACCTGACCAAAATACTCCTACGAATGAATAAATTCTCGAAAATATTTGCAATTTCACCACCACCATTATTCTATTTCTTTTTGGAATTATCTCAGGATTTATTTACTTATTATTCGATTCTCATATAGGTTCATGAATAAATTTACTTTCGGTAGTAGTTTTGACATCGATAATAGTTTCGTAGCCTACAAATTCCAAATTTCTACCTATTGTAGTTGCATTTTAGAATGTATCATATTATATTCTTTCATTTTATATTAACTTCAGGTGATTGCTAGTGGTAAAAAATTATAATTTCATCAAATAATCTCTCTCATCTTCATACTAGTAATAGTTGTAATGAAAGGGAAGTCGGTCGCCTAAGTAGGCCCCCATTTTGCTGCATTTTACCTTCTCCTAATTCTCCTTTCCGAACTACCGTGACATTCTGATGAAGGTCAGAGGTCAGTATGTCCGTCCACCTTAGGTTCGAATCTAAGCCTTCATGGTTATAGTTGAACAATGCTGGTGTGGAATTTTCAGGGAAACATTATTTGACTATTCGAAGTAGGTATGTATATTCAACAGTGTAACTACATTTACACAAGTTGTGGTAATGGTCCACGATTGGGATTTCTCAATAGCAAAAAAAACGAGTGCTAATCTAGTTAAAATTGAAAAAAAAACACCACGCGAATATAATTATTTTTGAAACTATTTCGCAAAATGCCCAGCGAATTCGAAAATTTTTCAGCCACACACTTCGGTTTTGCGTCATTTTTGTTGAAACAGGCTATTTCTTCGAAGAAAACAGCCTACCAATAACGTAGGCTATGGGCCCCTTTATGCATCCATTCAAACGAGGAACCAAAGGTGAAAAAAATTGCTTTAATTTGATACTAACGAACTGTCAATATGATACCAAATTGTCCAGAATTACGCATTGATATTGGTTGAAACAACGAGACAAGAACGTCACATTTTGACATGTGAATCATATCATTATACCTTTATAGTTCTCACTCACCACTTATCTGTAAATTTTCTAATAACAAAACGGCATCTCTGTCAGGATCGCTACCGCCGGACAAATTGAGCCTTCCCCCGTAAAACTCCGGGTAATAATCCACAGGGCTGGCCCCACGGTTTTTCAGGAAAGTCTGGATGGCGGGGATCACTTCTTTGTAGAACATCAGTTCTTTGGAAAATAAAACTGGCGTGAGGAGGTCATCACCGTTTGGCGGCGGCTTAGGGACGCATTTGCAAACAGCGTTAATTTCTCTCTCGGCCTCTGTGACTCTGTTTTTCACGGATACGTGAATTTTCGTCATCTGAAACATACGGAAATCAGAGTGAAGGCTGCGACACAATTGAAGTTTTAAGTTTTATGGTTAAGGTTCGAGATTTTGGAGAGAAACAGACCTCGGGCGCAGGGATTTATCTCGAAGAGAGAAACATACGAGAAAGCTACGCTCTAGGAAAATACACCACAGTTTTTCAAGCTGAGGTGTTTGATGCCATCCTGGTCGTAGCAGAGAGGCAAGAGTTGAAAGAGGGAACAGAGCAGAAGATCTACATCTGTTCGGATAGTCAGGCAGCACTCTAGGCTATCTGTCATTCCAGACCAAGCTCGGCATTGGTACAAGAATGTGGAAATGCCCTTGAGATATCAGCCGAATGAAAGGAAGTTGAACTGGTATAGGTCCCGGGTCACATCAGTGGGGTGCCCGGAAACGAAACAGCAAACGAACTTGCTGGGGCGGGATCCGCGGAGCCGTTTTAGGGACCGGAGCCTGTACTAGGTATAGCGAGGAGCCAAACTACGTCAGTCCTTGACGAATGGACAGACAAGGCACTAGGAGAATACTGGAGGTTGCAGGCAAGCCAAGGTGTTTGTGGCCGGTCCGAGGAAATCAAGAAGGGACTGGCTGCTTGGCAGAAACCACCAAGTACTCCGCCTCCTCATAAGAGTACTGACAAGACAGATGTGGGGGATGATGAAGAAACGTCACTCCATTTTCTCGGCGAGTGCGAGGCGTACGAGAGGCTGAGATTTGAATCTCTGGAGTCGACAAACTCCAACAGGAGGAGTTGATCATATTGAAGTAGACGGACATACTGGCCTTCATCAGAAGGTCAGGGAGATTCGTAAAGGAAATCTAGGTGAAGAAAGCGTATATATGTGGAGAACAGGGGTTAGCAAAAGGGCCCATCGGGGCCTACTTGCTTGGCTACAGCCTCCCCACCTACTACTACTTGGAGATATGCAATAAGAAAAACAAGATGTAAAACAGAATTAACGTAGAAAATCTGGAATTCCACCAATAAGGTTGTTTGAGGCCTGACCAAAAACGATTATTCAAATATTATGTCGGTCTAATCGAAGTTATTATAATCATGAAAATACGCATTGCTTTTATACAACACCACAATCAACGACTTTTTCCTCGAATTCACGATGATACGAAAGAAATATTTATAGTTGTGTGAAGAAGAATGGGCTTATATCACAAAAAAAAATTATTTCATAATTCGATAGAACTCACCCAAACTAGCTCACCACCGCAAATCTTTTCTTGCTGTGAACTCCCTACGTTTTATAAAAAATTATTGAAATCCCCGATTTTTCGGAACTCTGAAAACGAGGCGATGATGTGACGTCAAAACCCTACTACTGAAACAAAACTATTCCAGACAGAGATGAATGATACATGATTTCTGACAGAGTGAGTTAGCGCGAGATCACAGTTGAAAGGATTAATATATCAGTTGCCTCAGCAGTCTCCGTCGGGCGTTTGGTATTTTCTTTTAACTATGGCGAGATGCTGAGGTTCCTACGTCATAAGAGGGTCCGTTTTCAGAAGGTACTATTATTTATGTCCAAAAATAAAAAATTCCAGTTAATTTTTCGATCGAATTATGTCGTCAATCATTATTTATGTATAAAAGGGTCATTATAAACATGGTTTCAGTTAAAAATTCTACTAAGGTGTACACGCCCATTGCTGTGATTGGTTGGGTTTCTGAATTTTAAACCATAAAAACCATCACATCCGTATCTTAAAACATGAAACTTTTTGCCTAATTCATAAATTTGTATTTTGTCGTTCGCCACAAGGACCTAGTGTGTTCAATTTTAGGGATTCACTTGACTCGAAGAACGACAGTTCACAATTACTATTCTTCAAAATTGTATTTCTTTTTTTCATCTGCCTTTTTTGACCAAAGATATTAATTCGATATGAGCCAATTTATACAACGTTTTCAACATAAAATATTCAAACGTTGGAGAAGTCCATTATAGCTCATAGTCATCTCCACGACTTTCTCATTATTATTTGAAAACATCAAATTAGGAAGATGTTTCGGACATACGCCATGTCTATCTTCAGCCTATGCTGAAAAGTCCTACAATATAAGGAGATACATCATATATGAACAATCTTTTTGAAAAATGGAAATGAAAAGGTTATGTTACATTTTTTAAAAGTATTGATAAAAAAGGGTTTTTCCCCCAAACATGGAAAGACAAATTATGGAGCATACTTAGGCTCAACAATTAACCAACTATTGTTAAGAAGGAAGAAGAACATTTTCTGCTTTCAGAACGCCGTCCCACATTCCGCGGGTTCTGACATATATTCAACCTCTGACGTCTCTTCTTGCGTAAGATGGCGTTTTCTTACTATATTTGTTCCTAGAATCTGTGGTTGAAATATGTTCATGTAATCTATGGACACCCTGTATATCACATCATAGGGAAAGATTAAAAAACTCACTTCACTCAGATAATTTTCTCCAGGTTCCAAAAAGTTCAGGATTTCGACTTTTTTGATAGTCTCATTGCGTGATAGTCGCTGGCCAATTATTTCTTCGAAATTTTTTATGAGAGGTTCGCCCATTTTATCAAGTCTTTATTCAAACTAAAAATTTATAATATCGAGAATCACAATAACATTAGATGAATACCTTCGAGGTTCAGATAACAAATGATACAATAAAACAGTTTCTCATCATAATATATCATGAACAGGCTCTTCAATTGTGATTTGAGATCGATTACTCCGATTGTAGTTGAATCACCATAATTTGTGATTATATCAATTCAAACAATTTGATATTCTTTTCGCAATTCATTTTGTACCTACAAGATTTAAGAATTGTTTATTCGATCCAGAGAATCCAGTTTTTTTTATTTTATTTTTCATAGATACATTTGCCTAGACAGATAATGAAAATATTTTTCCTAAAATAAAATTGAAGTGGAAAGAATTTGACAAATTTTGGATATATTATTATATCCTATTGCATCCACCCTTTTTTGTGCGCTTCTGAATTTTTCGCAAGCCTTTGGATGGATGGTGGAGTTTGACAGGCTAATTTCGGGACATACTGTATAAACTATGTAGTGTGTCTGTTGCAAAAACCTATCTATTTCTATCTCATATTGGCTAATGCGAAGCGTTCGAGTTATTTGAAATATTTGCTTGTTTTTTTGTTTTTATTCTAGAGTATACGTGATTAAATTTGAATATTCATTCAGGAAAAAGGATAATGTTGCAATCAATTATTATTTGAAAATAATTTTTTTAGTGGCTCAAAAGTGAAATCCCATTTTTATTCTTACCGGATTAGGAAGGCAAATGAATACAAAATTCAAATGTCACAATATAGTGTACAGGGTGAGCGAAGCTCAATGTCTCAGCACTTCCAACTATTTCAGATTTATATAAGATGATATGAGATTGAGATATTTCATCAATAGAAATAACTGGAAAATCCACATTCAAGGAACTCCTTTTGTGGTTCTTCTCATTTATTCACTGTTTCATGAATATTCTGTATCTTCATTGCAATCATTCTCATTCTTCTGGTGAATGAATATTATTATTATTATATTATTATCAGAGAAAATAGAAACACGATAAAAAAATTTGAAAAGAGGTTCTTGAATGGTATCTAAGGTCTATTTTCCATACACATTTCACTATTAGAAGGTGAATAAAAAGTCAAGAAAATTACAATGTCAGAACGAATTTTCCCATTGAAAATGAATATCTGCGTCGCGCAGTATGTACACCTTCATTTTTTCCTTTCTGGAGAAGGAGAAGCTTCGAAGGTAAATCTGAAAAGACAATATTATGATGTAGCACTTGAACATCCTGTATATTTTTACATATTCTAATTCAACAGGTAAAAAAAAGTACAAACGTTACGTCAAATGTAATTTTTTCGAAGAAGTTGTAATTAAAATTGTTTTTTCATTTTACCTCGTGCATAAATTGAATGTGGTCAAGCCTATAACCATAGGAACCTAATTTTTCCTGGGCAAATAATTTTTGGTATCACTTATCAATGAATTACCTCAGTCACATCACATTTTGATCAAAATTTCATTTATTTTCAAATGGAACCCCTATTTGCCACCTACATGAAAAAACAAAAGTCGTAATTGTATTGTAATTCATGAATTTCCTTGCAGTTCGCGAATGATTTTTCGAGCAAGCTGTGGAAAACAACATTTCTGAATTTTATCATAGAGATTGCACTTGTTTTGACTTGTTGAACTTGAATATGTAAAAATATACAGGGTGTTCCATTTCAAAAAACAAAGTTGCTGTCGTTTCCAGAAAAACCGGGAGTTCGCCATATTGATTTGTAATGTCATCAAATCCGAAATGAATGCTTACATAACTATACCAAATTTCAGAAAAATCTGTTTACCTACTGCCATTATAGGAAGTAGGCAAGAACAAACGAGATACAGCTTCAATAAGTAGCTCTTTACGTACAGTAAGCAAATCGCACAGTTTCCGTTTATTCCGCAGGTATAAATATGATGTCATGATCGCGTAATCGCCGCGTCAACAGCGGATGACATAACTGTCAAGAGTTATAATTCAGACTGTTTGTCCAAACTTTTTTGATGTACTATACAAACTGGGCGTCAATTGAAACGTTAATAGTGAAATTTGGCATCAAGTTTGACTTCTCGTAATTTCTAAAATATTGAACGAATTTTGAATTGCCGCCCAGATTCTGAATGCCTTTTTTATCGTCTTTCGAACCGTTCCTTACAGCTTCTTCTAAATTGATCAGGACCCGTGATACAGGGTGAAACAAAGTTACGTGCATTTTGAAAAACATTTCTACGCCCCCCCATTTTGTCAGAAGACCACGATGCTCATATTTTATTCGGGCATTTCATAAATAGCAACCATACCTCGGGACGTTTTCGAGTTTCTGCCAAAAACTACTGTGGTTTCCGAAAATTTTTTTTTTGCATTTTTTTTTAATGGACTAATTTTAGAGAAGTTCCATAAATGGATGCTTTTATGCATCTCAGGAAATCGTTGGAGCAGATATGTATACCAGGTTACTCAAGAACAATCAATAATTTATTACTTCGCAGTCTATGATTAAAGTTTTCTACCTTAGTGAGCAGTAAATCAACACATCTCATCAACAATTACAAACAACGATAACTTGTTTCTATAACAGCGTATTGTTGAAACAATGTAGGTATGCATAGGGGTTATATCAATTGCCAATTTTTATGAAAACGTCAGTGTAATTCGGGTCCTAAAAAATTTGAAGATGCCTCGTTCAAATCGGGTCGAAATGGAAAATATCATTAGGTAAGATCACTATAGTGATATTAACTATAATTCAGTACAGATAATTATTATTTCAGGTTACGACGATTAGGATATACCCAAACTCTTTCAAGTACCATTTTCAATAAGTCAGTCATGACAATAAACAGACTGATTCATCGTTTTGAGGATACAGGTAATTAGTCCATTTAAAAAAAATGCTAAAAATTGTTTTTTTTTCGGAAACCACAGTAGTTTTTGTCAAAAACTCGAAAATGTCCCGAGGTATGGTTGCTATTTATGAAATGCCTGAATAAAATATGAGCATCGTGGTCTTCCGACAAAATGGGGGGGGCGGAGAAATTTTTCTCAAAATGCACGTAACTTTGTTTCACCCTGTATCATGGATCCTGATCAATTTAGAAGAAGCTGTAAGGAACGGTTCGAAAGACGTTGAAAAGGGCATTCAGAATCTGGGCGGCAATACAAAATTCGTTCAATATTTTAGAAATTACGAGAAGTCAAACTTGATGCCAAATTTCACTATTAACGTTTCAATTGACGCCCAGTTTATGTGGCAGTAGGTAAAGTATAGTACGTAATGCGTGTTGTAAAACAATTTTCCATTCGTGCGTAATATGCTTCTTACGACACATATTACGTAATATACTATTACGAATGCAGAAATTACAGGTGACTGGCCCGATACCCAGTGTAACCTGGTATATACATTCCATTAATTTCATTTTCTCATTCTTTATCTGACCTCGAAGCGTATATATTCTGCGTATAGATATTCATCTGATATTAAGGTGATTCACGATATCATAAATTTTCAGTTGGAATAAAGATTTGATGATGGGCGAACCTCAGATAAAAAATTTGGAGGAAATAATTGGCAAGCTACTATTAAGCAATGAGATCATCAAAAAAACGGAAATAGTGAACCTTTTGGAACCCGGAGAAAATTATTTGAGTGAAGTGAGTTTTTCAATCTTTCCCTAAAGGTATAAATTTCAAGACTAGACTGCAAGACAATTTCATACAAGCTTTGGACAAAACAGACTGTTTTTAGTACCTATACTTGGGTGTTTCCAGAATTGGGGCGATTGATGAAATCGGGTGATAACAGAGGAAAAAACAAAACGAAATGAAAGAAAACATTTTTGACGAAAAACAGATTGGAAGATATTGAGCTTCTAAGTTTGCCTAAAACTTTTATAAATCGTTGATTAGAGGTTAATAGCGCTTTTTAGTACCTATACTGGGTGTTTCCGAAATTGGGGCGATCGATGAAATCGGATGATAGCAGACGAAAAAACAAAACGAAATGTAATAATACATTTTTGTCGACAAACAGATGTTTTGGAAGATTTTGAGCTTCTCAGTTTGCCTAAAACTTTTATAAATCGTTGATTAGCGGTTAATTGTCAAACCCAAGCGTTTGCTTTCGGCGAGATCATGAGCACCAGGAGTATCAATGACTGTTGCAATGTTGCCAGACGTTCAATAAAATTTGAAGAATGTAGTATGGTGGGAGCGATTTTTAGTACCTATATAGAGTGTTTCCGGAATTATGGCGATCGATGAAATAGAAAGAGTACATTTTTGTCGAAAAACAAATATTTTGGAAGATATTGAAATGGGGGGGGGGGTTAGACACCTATATATGGTGGGAAATGACCATCATTTCGTGCTGGTTAAACAATAGCGGATGGCCCGAAGAAACCAATTTACCCCCCTGTATCTTTGTTGCTGTTATGTGTGGATATCTCAAATTTGGTACATCGATTCTGTTTCATCAGTGTATAATTTTGATAGTATCAGACCAAATATATGACACTTCCGGTTTCACCAGAAGTGCATAAGATTTTTTAATATCAACCACAATAGTATATTATTGTTTAAAGAGCACGTAATTATAGTCATTTCCTACGAGAATGAAGTTTGCAGCATGAGTCATAGGCGAATAATGCTGCAATCATTCGAGTAGGAAATTAGCATTCCGTGCAAGTTATACACTATAATTTTTCTACGGCTATAATAGATAACAGCGGCATTTTCGATTTCTTCGTCTTGTAGCAATCTGATTTCCTGTCAAGTAAAGCTCATCTATTTGACAGAGCTGTGATTGCTTGAAATTTGACATCACATGGGCGATGATTTTTTTTTTTAATAATAACACAATGGAGTCATTGTGATATAAGACACGGAAATAAAATTGATGACATACAAAGTACCTCATTGATGTGTATATCGAACCAGGGGCTACTCTACTAGAGTAGGCCCTGATCGAACACAGCAGTAAAACAAGAGCAATCTTGTGTTATAGCCGTAGAAAAAGTATTGTTTTTATACTTCCAATCTTCAATCTAACCATGAAATTGACATTTTATAAAAAAATTCTTCTTGTAGCCCCTTCTTAACTTGTAGAAAAAAAATCAAATGAGTTTTTTGTTGCATCAGATTTTGCAGTTTCAATAATTATTCTCAAACCAGGGAAAAAAATCACTATCATAGCCAACTAATTTATGGAGTTGAAATGTTCAATACGATGTAACTAGGTAAAGCATGGAGATTATCTTCATTGAAACTAAATTGGAAACAGAAAACTGCATTTTTTGTTCTGTCTTGAATTTCAATATGCATGGGAGTTTCTAACCAACTTGCAAGAATTCTATGATAGCATTTATAAAAAATGAGTTCATTGCTGTTCAAAAATGAAGAAAAACAAAAATTTAAAAAAATAGTTTGTGTGCTATTATTGTGTAAGAACTTTGACGTCGATATATTGTTAGTCACATGCTGTTGTTCAATTTTCCATAGCACACTTTGGAAATATTCCGTAACGTATTTTTTTGTAAAATCTCAATTCATATGACTAGATTTTGGATTAAAAATATGATTGTGACATATCGTTAGAAAGGTAATTTTATCCTGAATCGTAATATCTAGGAAAAAAGTATACTTTGTGTTGGAATTATAATTATATAAGCTTTGAGGATGTGAGGGATATGTCAGATTTAAGAAACCATATGAATTCTTGTCAGAAACTCAATGGAAGAAAAGATAAATATGCAGTAAAATTCGTCATGTTTGTGGAATGTGAACCCTTCCTTAACAATAGATATCACTGTGGTTTTGGAATTATGATATAATTACTACAATCAAAGGTAGGTATATAGTCGGAAGATAAAAAACCTAGTCCGAATTGAAAGAATTTCTAATATAAACCCATACTTAACAATAGATATCACTGTGGTTTTTGGATTTATGATAATTGCTACAAATCAAAGGTAGGTATATAGTTCGAAGATAAAAAACCTAGTTCGAATTGAAAGAATTTCTGATATTTACTTTTCATGATATTGTAAAGCCCCGCTACTTTCTCTCTGGTTGGCCTATAGAGGGGACTTCACAGTGAATATTAGGGCAGGGGGAAGAATGGTGATGTGGAGACATTGATATGGCTATCTTATATTTCTAAACAACCACCACATAGCAAGAACTAATTTCCACCGTAGGGGTGTACGCAGATATACACAATACATAAGTCGTATCGTAAATACCCTCACCGGCAAAAAATACCGGCTACTAAAAAATTAAACCAAATTGTTCGCCCTGTTATTCCCTCAACTCCTGTCCGATTTTGTTGAAATTTCAACCAAATTGTATATTCTTGTTTCGGAATGTTAGTCTGAATATTAGTTCCAGAGAAAAGCTGATGACTTGGGGAAAATACAAAAGTTACTCTTTCACCCTTGACTTCCCAACGGCCTGTGGAAGAGGTGATAGGTTGAACTCAGCTTCATTATGTTTTGGATTGAAGTATGATCGCTTCTCAATGGTTTTTGATTCACGTCGATAACCACTTATTAAGAGAAGATACATGTGTTTTAAGAAAGTATAGATTTTTTCATTTTTATTAACAATAATTCAGAACCATTCTCCAACCTTCTGCTTCATCATTTTTTGAATTGAAGTGTGATCCTTTTTCGTCCCTTCTCAATACAATGGTTCTAGATTCACGTCAATATCTTCTCTTCAAGTGATTTAAAAAAGTATGGAATTGTATAATTTTTATAAAATATAATTCAGAACCTATAGAGCATCTTAGGAATGAACTCCAGAGGCTCGTTCGCCTTTATCCTGCCTAGTCAGAGGTCAGAGAGGTAAGATTCGACCTTCAAGGAGATTTTCAGGCAATTCTTCAAGACTACTTGAGGAATTTTATCAACTCAATGCCACGGAAGTTGGATGCTTGAATTCAAACCCGAAGAGGGCATACTCGTTATTGACTACAGGGTCTTTTTCTTTTCATCGAGGTGGTTGAAATCCTTTATGGACACCATATGGGTATACCCACTAAACACTCCAGCCCGTTTGTAGGCTCGTCTGACCGAAGTCTCCGACGACACTTAGGCCCATTGTATCTTACCTACATGCCGCTATCAATTTTACCATATGCGACTCATGGTGCTTGTTAAGGGCCACTTCAATATGAAAGACCCTTTTCGTTCAGGTTCCTGAAGATTACTCTTCCGACCCCTGTTCTCGTCTACGAAGAAGGCCAAAAGTTTTCCTTCTCCTACGAGTGACATGGGAAGGGGTTGGTCGAGCCCTGTGGTGCCCCCTGCACAGGGCTAAGGCTACTTACTCTGAGATGTCGCCCTGTTTCCCAGAGGCCTCGTTAGCGACACCATACCTCGGTGCCATTCATCCATCACCACGGGTTCCCACAGCATGGATTAGGTTGCCAGAGCCTCGTTGACCAGTGTTTGGGCACCTAGACAGACATCAGCAAATCGCCCCAGCCCTGACACAGATGTCCACAAATTGTCCCATCTGGCCCGGGTATAGCGTATAGCAAAGATGGTCCCAAAATGCTTCATCAGTCGAGCGGCCGCGGTCTGTCCTCCTCACACCACTTGATGGTGAGGTTGGGCATGAAGGGGAGGAGGAAAAGAGAAGTTGGCCAAGAAAGGCCGATAGATAGATTGAAAAAGAAAGAGAGAAGAGGATATCACCCAAGACGAGTTGAAGTATGGTGAATATCCGGCTAGGGTACCTCAGTTTCACCATTCCCGTACTCACAAGGTGTGAGCCCCTGAGCCTCACAGTTTTTCCGGGTAAGTTCTTCGAGAATGGGGTAGATTTAATAATTATTGATTCTTCAAGTTGTTGATCAATAAGTTCATGTAGGTTCTAATTATTGTTAATAAGAATTGAAAAATGCTATACTTTCTTAAAACACTCGTATCTTCTCTTAAAAATAAGATATTGATGTGAATCAACAACATTTATGTTGAGAAGGCATCACACTTCAATCCAAAGCATGATGAAGCCAAGTTCAACCACTCAAATTCGCCACAGGGTGTTAAGAAGTAATGGGTGAAGAGTAAGTAACTTTGGATTTTTCCTGTATAATGATCAAGTCATCTGCTCTAGGCTAACATTCCGCAACATGAATCTACGATTTGATCGACATTTCGCAAAATTCGGATAAGGATTGAAAAAGTTACAGGGTGAACAATTTGGGGAAATAATTTGGTGGCCGTTTTTTTTGCATTGGTCTTCAAACTGATGAGATAAAGTTTTTCACTGAAACTAGCAAGATGTTTGTTTGTTTTAGATGACGAAAATTCAGGTGTCGGTGAAAAACACAGTCACACAGGCCGAGAGAGAAATTTACGCTATTGGTAAATGCGTCGCTAAGCCACCGCCGAATGGTAGTGACTTTTTGAAAGATTTTTCGCCATTTTTGTTCACCAAAGAAATGATGTTCTACAAAGAAGTGGTCCCTGCCATCCAGACTTTCCTGAAAAACCGTGGAGCCAGCCCTGTGGATTATTTCCCGGAGTTTTACGGGGGAAGGCTCAATTTGTCCGGCGGTAGCAAAGCTGACGAAGATGCCGTTTTGTTATTAGAAAATTTACATACAAGTGGTGAGTGAAAACTATAAAAAACTATAATCTATGGTATAATGAATATATAGTACAGGGTGCGCCTCTTAAAATGGAATCCCCCTTAACTCTTTCGTTTCCAGAGATATGAAAAAATGTTAAATGGAAAAGATGTGTCAAACGACCCAAACTTTTATTTCGTGAAGTTGTTTCATATACAGGATCATTCGTTTTTCCAGAAAGGACATCAACTTTGATTTTTTTCAATGGAATACCCTATATATTTTACGACATGTCAAAAGAGCCTTGTTTTCTTATATCAAAAATATATATGAGTTGCATATCTGGATGAAAAATAGTTGAGTTCTCGATGATCAAAATTTACCAAAATACCGCATTATGAACCTTCACTTCATATCATCTAATGTGAGTTGAATATAGTATGAATAGACCGTTTCAATGGAAGATTCGGTATTTTGCTAAACTTTCATAATCAATAACTCAATTATTTGTCATCCAAATATGCAACTCATATATATTTTTGAAATCAGAAAAGAATGCTATATAGATATGTCAGAAAATATATAGGGCGTTCCATTGAAAAAATCAAAGTCGATGTCCTTTCCGGAAAAAAACGAATGACCCTGTATATGAGGCAACTTCACGAAATAAAAATTTGGGTCGTTTCGAAAAACTTTCTGATTCAAAATTTTTTCACATCTATGAAAAAAAAGAGTTATGGGGGGGTTCCATTTCAAGTGGCGCACACCGTACACACACATATATATATATATATACTTATCAAACAATGTTTTCCTGAAAATGTCATACCAGTCATTTTCAACCATTCAGATGCTTTATTTCGACATTGTTACTATGGTAACCAGTAGGTTTTTTGAAAATTTTTCATCCACATGAGCATGTAGACGTCAAATGAATAAGTTGAAATTTTCTGGTAAAAGACAAAATTGAAATAATTCTGACAATATTTATCATTTTTCCGAAATCTAGTAAGAAAATCTATGAAATCAATCATTTTTATATAACACATTGATTGCCAAGCCCATATCTGGAGTTTATCCCACGGGGCCAAAGGTACATTTTAGTTCCATTCATGAATTTTCACTTCCAAAAATCAAGTTTGACCCTCAAAAGTCATTATTGATTTTTTTTTCATCCATTTTGTTTGTTTTTCGATGTCATTCATATATGAATGACATGGCCTCCCATGTTAGCCTAAAGAGTTATTTCACCACGCTGGGCCACGTCATTCAAATATGTATGACGAATATGATGATTGTTTTTTTCTACTAGCGTGCGGAAAAGAAAAACACTTTTCCGCACCCATTTCAGTGTTGAAAGAGTCTTTTTTCCGCACTAGTTGCGGAAAAAACTCTCCACAGTGAAATGAGTGCGGAAAAGAGGAATTTATTTTTCCGCACGCTAGTAGAAAAAATAGTGTACCTAACACATGTGGAATAGTATCACTTTCCGCACTTGTTAGGTAAACAACTATTTTTCATTATTATGTAATATTAGTTTTACTGTTTTTACGATGAATAAACCTTTTCATATATGATTTTTGTATTTTATTGTCTTGCATCACGATCTATCAAAATTTGCTCTGGCCAAATATGCCTGTGACTTCCTTGGAGGCCACACATTCATATCCCCATCTGAATTGCATTGGCTATCATTCATATTCGTATGACACGGCCTCACAACAAAAATATGTCGTCATACATATATGTATGACGCGGCCTAAACGGAAGTGGTAGTGTCATTCACATATGTATGACGTGGCAATCAATGTGATAATTATGTATCTGAAACTAGAAATTTTATTTTAATAGGCTACAGGGAGAGTGAATATTCACTTAACATTTTCTTTTCAATAATATTTCCAGTATGCAATTTTCTTACCGAATTCCCCACGTGCATGAATTGATCTCGGGAAATTTGTCTTGTATATGAATTTTGAAAATAGATTCATGTACTCAAAACATTTCCGGCAATAACTCATTCCCTATAGGGGTATTATTCCAAAAGGGAATAAATCAAATGGTGGTGGTTGCCAATATTTTTGAGGTTAGACTCATTCATAGCGTTATTTTTGTTTGGTTGGTGAAATAAAAAAAAACGAAATTAACCAATGAAATATTTGAATATGCTCAATTTTCTTAAAAGTAATCAGGAATTCGATGCAATAGAATATTATCATTCGATTTTGATCATTACCACATACCTTTGGCATGTCATCAGCTATCAAAAACTTCTCATTGTCAATGCTCAGGTATTATCTATCATCCATTATATAGTATATCTTATCAAATCAGTAGCTAGGGAATATGTAAACAAAGAAAAGTTATTCGCAACTTGAAGATAAATCTCTAAATGAAAATACTTTAACTTTAAGCATGCACGAATGATAAAAAAATCAACCTATTATCTAACATCGCCCAAGACAATATCGGATTTTTTTTTCAAAAGAAACCGTGCTTAGACACCTATACAGGGTGAGTCATTGAAATGGGAAAGTGAGATGACGGCTTCGCTGTTTGAGATAGATGAACAAAAATTTTTGTGATGGTCTAGGCTCATGAGCAGCACATTTCCAAAATATTTCGCGATAAACAGGGTGACTCAAAAATGCAGGACGTATCAAAGTTATACTTTTTCTCATGGGACACCCTGTATTTCTTGTATTTTCGGATTCTCCTTTGTGAACTGATTTCATCAATGCATCACATTTAGAGTCTATCGAGAATGATCACGGAGATATAGGGTGTTCAAAATCGAGATTTTTCAATTTTAGGATTTTTTTGTCTGGAAACTATTCATAATTGGTCAAATCTGCTTACATGTCCCTATCTTAACTTTCGATATACTACTGATATTCAATTTGAACGAATACAGGGTGGTTCGTAATTCTGAATTTTGAAAAATTGCGCAAAATACTTACAGGTGATCTAGCACAGAAATAATTATATTAGACTTCAAATTTCCACTTATAATGTCCTCAATTAAAAGACTTGAAGACAGCCTGGGTACATTTCTATATGCGAACCCAGGAGCATCCTCAAAATATCACCGAAGCTTTATTGTTAACACCCTACTCAAGAAAAATATCTTTCATTTTGCTATTCAGATCTGACCAATACATCCTTGATTACGATGTGAGAATCGGTTGCTTCAGAAGTTCTGTGGAAAGGCTTCAGCTTGACCTTGGTAGAATGTGATAGGATATGGGTACCTCTCGACATCATCAGAACATCATCAAAAGGTTATCAGAACGTCTTTGATTTTATCTGAGCTGTACATCGAATATTGGGACTAAACATAAACAATAACATATAAGATCATTTGATTTTTTCTCGAAGGCATGATTATTTTACTTGAAATTCGTTTTATTATGTCTTCATGTCACGTTTCACTTCTTTTCCAGGCTACCAAAACATGCAACGACACGAAGGATTCGACTTTGACGCTGCCAAAACAATTTTAAAAGACCTAGCCCACTTTCATGCAGTACCAGTAGCAATGAAACTCCTCGAACCCGAACTGTTCCAAGAAACAATCAAGAAAATCTGCGACATCAAACCACCCCCACCGGCCAAAAAACCAGAAGGCAAACCAGATGGACCACCAGCGCTGGCGAAAGAAGTGTTGGTTGCGATCCTAGAAGAAGACGAGAAGTGCGTACCTGCCATACCGAGCTTCCTCGAGATTCTGGAGGAACAGAGGAGTATAAGCTTCGAAGAGATGTTAAATATGAAACAGAGAGAACCCTTCGCCACCATGGCGCACATGGACATGTGGTTAAACAACACCATGCAGAAGCTAGACCACAAGAACAGACCCATCAAAAACAAATTCGTCGATTTCCAGGTGTTGTCTTACGCCAGCCCTGCCATAGATCTACTTTTCCTTTTAATCACCAGCGTGCAAACTTCTGTTTTGGAGACCCATTTCGACTACCTGCTGGAGTACTACCATGATAACTTCACGAAAGTTCTAAGGGAGTTGGGATGCGACTTAGCGCCTTTCAGTTACGAAAACTTCTTGGAGGAAGTGAAGGCGGTGATCCCTGTTTCGATTGTGCACGGTTCGTCTTTCTCGCTGATCATAGTTTTCGGGAAGAAGGGAGTGGCTGCTGATCCAACTCAGGCTGATAAGATGGGCAAAGACGATCTCGATCCGAAGGCTCGCGAGAAATTCAGATTTATTGTTCATGAAGCGTATAAAAGGGGGTGGATGCCGCAAAGCTGATGAATATTGGAGAAACAAATCTAGAATGGATTTCGGTTACTTTGATCCAGTGTTACAGCATATAAAAAAATGTAAATTTTAGTTAGCGAAGATTACCGATTTGATATTTAAATAGTTATTGATGTACCAAAGACGAAAAACTGTCCATTATAGTCGAATCTGCAGATTGATAGCAATCAGGCGAGAAAATAGACAGTTTTTCGTCGAGGTGCATATTAAATTTTTTCGTCGAACTAACACTTTATATCCACATCACGCTCCTATTCACACGTGAAGTCTATTTCGGATTTTGTGAATAATTAATTTGACAACAGCAAATAATAATAATAATAATACTTTATTCTCCAATGAGACAATATTACAAATTGTATAGGAAATTGTCAGAACATAGAACAGAAGAAAAAATACAGAAAATGTAGAAAAGACGATTTAAAGATATGTGAAATTCTGTCAGCGAATAATAACATTTTTGCATCAAAAAACTGTTTAGGGTCTTTTTGAAAAGATCAAGTTGCTCTGCATTCCTTATGTGGTCAGGAAGTTTATTGAAAATTCTTCTTCCGATGTGCTCAGGTGATCTGGAGGTTAATCTAAGGACCGGTTGCATAAAGAAAAATAAATCATACAATCAACTGATGCCACAATAACTTTGATGTTATGTCAAATGTCATTTGCGTTGCATAAACAATCTGATGTTATAATCATCATTCCAGTTACTATTGACGAGAAGGGCGTGGCAACAGCGCTAAATTTGTCTGCTCCCTGCGTTCCGCGCATTGTTGATACGCATTTTAGGTTAGGTTTATTTGCTTGATTAACATTCAGATTGACAGAAGTTACAGAAAACCTGAATCGGGTATTGAAATCATTGCCATCATACATTTTGAACGGATTGTTTCTATTTCGAAAGGTTCTTGACTTGAAATCGGGTGGAAAAAGGGGTCTGACTTCAAATTTTCTTTTGACCCCTGAATTTTCCTATTAGTGCCATTCGATAGTACACGTCGAGCTTCCTCAGTGTTTGAAATATTCGCACTTATTTCAATGCCACCCTGTATACAGGGTGGCCCACGGTCGATGGTACCTTAGACGTATACGGAAAACGGTACATTGGATTATCCTAAAAATGTGGTTACTCTAATAAGCGTTTGTGATCTAACGATTCAAAATATTTTCAGCGATGCAGCGTTGCCACTTTTACCAAAAAGTAGCATCATCTTTGTTATTTCAAATGGAACACCCTGTATTTCATTGCGTTTTTAGATTCTTCTCGAAGAGCTGATTTTATCAATGTGTCATACTTGGGGTCTAGCAGGAATTATTACAGAGATATAGGGTGTTCAAAATCGAGATTTTTCAATTTTAGGAATTTTTTGTGTCGAAACTATTCATTATCGATCAAAACGGCTTACATGTCCCTATCTTAACTTTTGATTCACTATCTACTGACATTTAATTGGAACAGATACAGGGTGATCAAAATTCTGAATCTTGGACCATCCTGTATTTTTTCCAATTAAATGTCGGTAGATAGTTAATCAAAAGTTAATATAGGGACATGTAAGCCGTTTTGACCAATGATGAATAGTTTCGACACAAAAAAATCCTAAAGTTGAAAAATCTCGATTTTGAACACCCTATATCTCTGTAATAATTCCTGCTAGACCCCAACTGTGATACATTGATGAAATCAGCTCTTCGAGAAGAATCTAAAAACCTAATAAAATACAGGGTGTTCCACTTGAAATAAAGAAGATGATGCTACTTTTTGGTAAAAGTGGCAACGCTGCTTCGCTGAAAATATTTTGAATCGTTAGATCACAAACGCTTATTGGAGTAACCAAATTTTCAGGATAATCCAATGTACCGTTTTCCGTATACGTCTAAGGTACCGTCGACCGTGGGCCACCCTGTATAGGTTAGTTCATTGTACCAGTATATCACCTGACGAAGCTACTGTATCACCGAAACATGTCGTGTGTTTGGGAAAGGACTCCGCACCATTTACATTGAAATCTTGTCTACGGTGAAATTTTGTGGAAATCTAGGATCATGCTGAACAAGAAAAGTCCTTTAGCCCAAGGTCTGTTATGCCCGTTAAAAGAAGTTGTACACTCTTGAAGCCAAACGAGATAACCTCCTATGGTTTTGGCTAATATAATATTTTTGAGTTGTCAGATAATGGTCATTCATGTTTTGTCAGTAAAAATCATTGAGCAAAAGCGTATTACTTTGTTCAAATACATAAAAGATGGCTTATCAGAATAGGTTTCGTTGCTTTATATGCGATGCTATGGCACGCATTGATCGAGATCAAAATGTTGAGCAGCAAGCAATTGCAATTCATCGTCAACAGGTTCTAGGAAGAAAGGGTATACCCCTAACCGATCGTACTCCCCTAATAGCACACAACGTCCTAGGGACGTCCCTATTTGGTACAATTCACGTCCAAACTTCCCGAACCAAAAATAAGTGTCCTTGGGACGTCCCATCCCGTACATCTCATGCAATGTCCTTCGAATGTCCCTTAGGAATATCCGTCGGATGTCCCAATTGGTACATGAACTGTACTTCTCCAATGTCCTAGAAATAACGTCCTATGGACGTCCCAGTCGGTACTTTCAAAATGTTGTCCCTGTGAGGACGTTAACTTACACCTCGCCGACGAATGATTGCTCGTAGGCTATAAGTACTCCTCGTCAATGTCCTTCACGTAAGTCCATTGGACGTCCACGGTACCTGGCCATCCCTGTCATATCCACAGTATAATAACAGTTTCACCAAACAAAATTATGAAATTCTTTCTGGTTCCAACTCGGATTCCAAGAAAAACGATCCCACTACTTCTGGTTTTCTATGACAGATTTTGACAAAATACAATGTTTGCCCCTCAGCAACCTGTCAAATGGATTAAAACTAATAGTCCTTGGTCGAGACTTGCAACGTATTAGAACAAAGTAATATATTATTATACGCTTTTGCTCAATGACTTTTAATGACATAACATCAATGACCATCATCTGACAACCCAAAAATATCATATTAGCCGAAACCATTATTACACACAGAATGTGCTTTTCTGGTAGAGGTTATCTCGTTTGGCTTCAAGAGCTTTATAATTTTTTTTAACGGGCATAACGGACCTTGGACCAAAGGACATTTCTTGTTCAGCATGATTTTATCCATCCAATCCTAGATTTTCACAAAATTTCACCGTAGACAAGATTTCAATGTGAATGGTGCGGGGTCCTTTGTGGAAATTTTTACGTTGTGTGAGTTTTTACATTTGTTTGAATTGGTAATTCAATCACTATGAGTACAATGAATACCTTATCGACAATATATCATAAAGAAAAAAAATGTCCTCATCATTGATGATGCATGCATTGAGAAATTGAGAATGTATTTATCAAACGATTATCCAGTAATCGATCTCAAATCACAATTGAAGTGCCTGTTCTGATATGTATAGTATGATATGAAACTAGGTTTATAAAACATTTGTTAATTTCATTGTATCATTTGATATCTGATCCCCGAAGCTTATTCATCTAATTTTAGGGGATTCATAATATCATACATTTTAAGTTTGAATAAGGATTTGAAAAAATGGGCGAACCTCTTATAAAAAATTTGGAGGAAATAATTGGCCAGCGACTATCACGCAATGAGACCATCAAAAAAACGGAAATACTGAACTTTTTGGAACCTGGAGAAAATTATTTGAGTGAAGTGAGTTTTTTAATCTTTCCCTATAAGGTGATGTAGATATACATGTCTAGACTGCGTGCAAGATATCTTTATACTAGCTTCGGACGAAATAGATACTGTTTTTCTAATGTATTTTTATATCCGCAAAATCGCACACTCTTGGTATATGCAATGAATTTTATTGGATAAATGGTCAGACACCTATACCGTACCTTATACATCATACTTTGAAGAGTACAGTCGTATTCAAAAAAAAGCGTACAAGTATAGAGGGAGAAATCAACGTCATCCTATTTGCCTAAAACGGGCTATCAGGAATGAATGTTTACCAAATGTTGACAGTAGAGTAATCATAGGTTCTTGAGAATACAAAGGATTGGCTGAGCCAATTTTACACAACGAGAACTAAGTAGGATGCCGAAATCTTCTATGTACGCATTTTTATTGTATATTCATGACGTTTTGGCGTCCCCAACCATACTGATCGTAATTTTTTCACACATTATATTACGTTCAGGTTTTGAAATGAAAAAATCAAAAACTACTACATAAAAAAATCAAGTGAAATTGTGGCATTTACTGAAATGAAATCTTTCTTTTTCACAAAAAAATCAGTGTAGCGTTAGACCCTTGAGAACATACTAGGGTGTGATGAGAAACTACAGGGTGTTGAAGTGCATCTTGGAAAGTAGGTACATACACAAGAATTCTTTCAACTTGACCAAGTATTTTCTTGTCTTCCTTTCATTGGAAATTACTATAATTATTATTTCAAAAATTCACACAATGGCTAATTTGACTTGCTCTTTGAGAATCCATAAAAAGTCTTGCCAGAAACTCATTGGAAGAGGAGGTATATATGCGCCAGTGAAATTTGTCATGTATGTAAATCCTTATTTTAATCGATACCATTGTGTGTAGGTTTTTGCATAATGATGATTATTACTTTTCGATGTTAGAGTCAAAAAGTAAAAATATAGTCCAGATTGGAAAAAAATCCGACATGTATTTTCCATGATATCTTGAAAGAAACAATTCTACCTGAATGCAGTTCAACGCTCTGTAGATCATCTACGAAATAATTGGGGATACATTAACAAGTTTATTGTCACTATATTTTTCTCACTAATGTCGAATTCACGCAAAATACGTCTGTTTGAAATTGATCTTTCCGTTTATATCGACCAATAATTGGCAGGTCAGATACAATAGACTTGTTAAAATGTAGGTACATAAAAAGACACATTAAATTGTAGTGGGATAAAAAACGCATTAAAAGTGATTGAATAAAGTCATACATACGAATACAATAAATCTAGTAATAAAACAGACTGGAATCAGTGACATATATAGTTAAATAACAATCATTCATAAGGACTCATCTAGGGGCGTCCTCAGATATTCGTCAGTGGAATAAAAACAGTGTCGGAGAATATGATGTTTCAATTTTGATTTGAAACAATTCAAATTCAAAACCTTCCTCCCCTCCTAGAGCAAAAACTTATAAAGTTCAATATTGAGTGAATTATTCTGAGATTTGTTTAGTCTGTAACATAATGGCTTTAAATTAATTGCATAACGAGTATAATAATTATGAAAATCAGAGTTGGTAGAAAACGAATTTCTGTTTTTGTGTATCTCAATAGCTGTAGAACATATATGAATAAGGATGGTACAGGCAAAATAAACAGTTCCTTATATAATTGTTGACAGTGATCTCTGTAACCAGCACCAACGATAATTCTGATAGCTCTTTTTTGTATTTTGAAAACCTTCATAGCGAAACAAGAGTTTCCCCATAAGAGTATTCTTTAATCTATGTGAGAATGAAGAAATGAAAAATAACATTTTCGAACAGTATTGAAGCATAATTGGTTTCTCAAATTACGCAAGAGATATATCAAACTAGACAGTTTTTGACATAGCTGATCAATATGAGATGACCATAGTTAGTTTGTCGTCTATTACAACTCCAAGAAGTTTGACAGTTTTTACATTGCCTGGATGTCTAGTCAAAAATAAAATTCCTGCGTCTTATCATTATTTAATTTCAAATTGTTGGCACTGAACCAATTCTGTACTTTACTAAAAGAATCTGCCAAACTGAGAGAGAGACTATCTGCATCAATTCCAGTATTGAGCAAAGTTGTGTCATTCGTATAAGCAACATATTTATCTGGAAACAATGAGTGAAACAGATCGTTTACATAAACGATGAATAATGATGGGTCCAAAACAGATCCCTGAGGTACCCCGTGTAGTATATTAGAAAAATCTTAATAGGATTTATTAATATACAGCTAGCTTTTTGTTGTGCAGGTAGGATTGAAACAGGTCACGTGGTACTCCTCTGACACCATAAAAACGTAACTTTTCAATAAGAATCGTGTGTGAGACACAATCGGAGGCCCTCGAGAGATCGCATAGAGTAAAAGATACATCCATGCCCCCCTAAAGGCCTTCGACGATCTCACTAATGATTTTGATGGGTGGTACTACATTTACTTCTAAACCCAAACTGGCAGCAGTTAAGGAGTTCATTAGATTCGAAATATTATTCATGAATCTCTACTTCAGTAATATCTCAATGACCTTTGATATTGTTGGAATAATAGATATCGGACGATAGTTTGCAATCTGTGAAACATCTCCTTTCTTAAATATTGGTATTACTTTAGTGACCTTTAATATATCAGGAAACCTCCCTTGAGTGATGCATGCATTGAAAAGAATCACCAACGGATAGACTAATAAATCTTTTGTTTTTGTTTCAAGAGTTCACTATTCATTCCATACACATCGGTACATTTTGGGATTTTTTGAGAAAGAAGGATGTATACATTGTGTACATGGTGTAGGCTATAGTTCCTAAATGTACTTGACACTGCTGTTTCGACGTTTTTTGTATATTAGAGTACGAACACTCTGGCAAAAAATATCAAAACAGCAGTGTCAAGTACATTTAGGAACTCTAGTGTAGGCAAACCCTTCAAGAAATTCTCAGGGTCTAGATTATTGTTATTGTTTGCAATGGCCCCAATATCAGGTTTTCTGCAATAGTGGATATATTTGCATTCGATTGGTCTTCAAACTGATGGAAGGGATTTTTTCACTAGAACACTTCAATTTCTGTCTGTTTCAGATGACGAAAATAAACGTGTCGGTGAAAAACAGAATTACAGAGGCCGAGCGAGATATTTACATTATTGGCAAATGCGTCGCTAAGCCACCGCCGAACGGTAATGACTTTGTGAAAGATTTCTCGCCATTTTTGTTCACCAAAGAAATGATGTTCTACAAAGAAGTGATCCCCGCCATCCAGACATTTCTGAAAAACCGTGGAGCCAGTCCTGTGGATTATTACCCGGAGTTTTACGGGGGAAGGCTCAATTTGTCTGGCGGTAGCAAAGCTGACAGCGATGCTGTTTTGCTATTAGAAAATTTACATACAAGTGGTAAGTGAAAACTACAAAGGTATAATGAATATACAGGGTGATCCAGGTTTCAAGGTACAAAGTGAAAAGGGTGATAGATCTCATCATTTCTATGAGGAAAGTGTGTATAAATACAGGGATAGGCTATAACAAAAGTTAGAGACACTAGGAATAAGAGGAACAGTTCTGAAATGGGTAGAGAGCTATTTAAAAAACAGACGACAAATATTAAATATGTATAATGAATATTCAGATAACATAGAATGTAAACAGGGTGTACCGCAGGGAAGTGTTCTGGGGCTACTGTTATTTCTGATCTATATGAATGATATGCCAGAGGTGATAGGGATAGTAGAACAAAACATTGGAAGACATATACATATGGTTTTGTGTGAGCTATTTGGAGATTAACGTTGAAGAGACCAAATATATGGTAATAAGTACAGAAAGAAGCTATAGATATATTAGTAAAGAAATGTATGAGGTAATAATTGGCAAAGACAACGTAGAACAGGTAAACATATTCAAGTACTTGGGGGTAAATGTAGATAAGAGATTACAGTTCAAATAGCATGCTCACTGTATTATAAAAACAATATCATTCAATAGTATATTATGTAACAAGTGTTATAAACGTTCTTTTAGTAACGAGTATTCTAAGCACGAGCGAAGCAGAGCGGAGCGTGTGTTTAATAAACGAGTGTCTAGAAGAGTTTATAAACGCGTTACATACTATGATTTTTCTACGAACTCCGAAAATTACATTAAGATACCTGCTGCTATTTCTGCTAACCTATATATAATTCGAAAGGGATGGGAATTGAGAACATAATACATGCAACTGCATGCAACCAGCGGGACACGTATAAGTGATATTGGTTGTAGAAGTGTCCAGTCCATTGCTTACTTACCTTTGTTTCACCATTCACGTTTATTGTCATGCTTAGCGCAGAATAAATAGATTGTTCTCAAAGATGGATGCTTCATTTTTACACTTCTTGGAGAAATGCAAGTACCAAAACATTCTCTTCGATTTCACTTTCGTCTACATTTCGCATATATTTTTAATGAAGAATTCTGAAACAAACGAAAATTGTTTGAATAATTCTGATGCAAAATTCGAAAATAACAGTTGACAGTTAATACAATTGACAAGCCAGACATGTCTCAAATTAATGAAGCTGTGTTTAATAAACTGTGTTGCCATGGTAATGTGTTTAAGAAATCGTGTTGCCATGGTAACTTGTTTAATATTTTGAATAAATCACAGATCGTCAATCCGTGATTAATCGATCATTTAGCGTGGTACATATCCGTACGCTAAATGCCATTTTAGTTATGTGAGTAGAAAAAATACATCACTTAACCCGATGTGCTCCGTACTCAACGAGATAGACAAAAAGACGAATTTCTAATAAATAATATCTAAGGTACCGATGTATGAAGTTTCATGTCTGATTGGTGGATATTTTTGTCCAAAAATCATGTCTACCATAATATGTTTTTATCTACCGCAAAAAAATAATTGTTTCTCAATTAACTGTATCCTATGTCCTTCCTAATAGATCTGAGAAGTATATATTATACAGTTTCATGATAAGGGATGTAGGAATGTATTCCTGTTCACTGTATATAAATCGCTATATCTAATTTCTGAATAATCATTAAGGTCGTATTTATCTTCAAAATTTTGTGAGCAATTCAATTTCATCTGCAAAGATATCATTAAAACAATGGGAGATAACGATAATTTTCAAGTAGGTACCTACGGCAACGATCATGAGCGAAAATATAATCACGTATAAATAATGGGGAACTTTGAGATAATCGATGTCCTAACAAGATTTTTATCTTCAGAAATTACCTACCATTCTTGCTGATCGCAATCTATTGGAGAACATTATCTGAAAAATGATTCAGAAACAGCTTATCACTGTATTATATTTTAATAATAGGAGTATATCAAATTAACCAGTGGCTTGTCTAGGATCATGCCCCCCCTCCTCCCCCCGTGGAAATATATGCCAAGGCTCCTTGTTTCTAGGTTAGAATCTCTTTATTACTAATTTTGTTGTGAAATCATGCGATCTCAATCAATCAATCAATCAATTTATTCAATTCAATTCAGATACATACATGTTCTTTTGTATTGTTAATGTTACATATCGTAAATAAATAGTATCTTATTTAATGCTTCCTATATACAGGGTGTCCCATGAGTCATGGATCAGAAGAAGTGGGGTGGTAACCGTATACGTGGTTATCCTATTGTTGATGGTTCAAAAGTTTTTTTTCTTCATTTTTGTAGAAAAAATTATATATAATATAACAATGAAACTTTGTCTCATTCGTGATTTTTTCTCTTGAAATTTTTATCCACAATGATGCACCTTTCCCCAGAAATTTTTTTGATGACATGTGTTACTTCCTATCGATTACCTGAGAAAAATTGTTATTCCCCTTGAGTTTGGTCATTGAAGGAAATATTTAGGTCGATTTTCAAATGCAGCTGGCAGATTCAAAAACTACCCCACAAAGATAACCAATGGGCGTGTACACCTTAGTAGAACTTTTAACTCAAACCATGTTTATAATAATCCTTTAATGCATAAATAATGATTGACGACATAATTCGATCGAAAAATTAACTGGAATGTTTTATTTTTGGACATAAATAATAGTACCTTCTGGAAACGGACCCTCTTATGACGTAGAAACCTCATCTCGCCATAGTTAAAAGAAAATACAAAACGCCCGACGGAGACTGAGGCAATTGATATATTAATTCTTTCAACTGCGATCTCGCGCTAATTCACTCTGTCAGAAATCATGTATCATTCATCTCTGTCTGGAATAGTTTTTTTTCAGTATTAGGGTTTTGACGTCACATCATCGCCTCGTTTTCAGAGGTCCGAAAAATCGGGGATTTCAATAATTTTTTATAAAACGTAGGGAGCTCACAGCAAGAAACGGTTTGCGGTGGTGAGCTAGTTTGGGTGAGTTCTATCGAATTATGAAATAAAAAATCTTTGTGATACAAGCCCATTATAAGAAGTTGCTCATTCAATACACATCCCGAAATGGTGTAACATATGGGTGAATTCAGAACAGCCTTTCTGTTATTATTTTTTTCCAAATGTGTCGAGTTTTTCAAATAAATCGAATATCTTTTGAACCATCAACAATTTTATAACCACATATACCGTTAGTTTTATTGCAAATGACCCCCCCCCCCTTCCACCCAATTTCTTTTGATCCACGACTTATGGGACACCCTGTATAATTACCTACGCGCACTTTGAATAATAACAACTTCTCAGAAAACTGGGGTAAATTATATTGAAATCTCAAAACAAACGTAAATAATTCTCTCTGAAATAACATAAAATTAAAAAAGAAACATAGGAACAAACTGAGATCAGTAGAAAAGTAGGTTACATAAAATATGATAGGAAAACTAATACAGTATCAAAATCCCTCGAAAATGATTACCAACTACGTATAACCAAATCATGTATATAATAAAAATTCAGTGAAGATCTCTTCTTCATGCCTTCCTGTCTGCAAATTCGTTAACAAAAACTGATTTTTTCTGTGACGGGAAAAAAGTTTGGCATTTCATTTCTGTTGGCAGGTTATAAAATGTCACTTTTCATAAATTACTTGTTTCCCGTGGGAAAAAAGTTACTTTTTTCACGGATATATATCACATATATATACATTGTTGATGGCTTTTGTTGTGCTATAGTTGCGAAAAATGAGTCAATAATACCGTCTCCGAGAAAGAACTGCAAGTCCTTTCATCTTCCATTCGACTTCACGGTTACGTATATTACTAAACAACCACTAAATTCGCAATTTTTTGAAATCAAATCACAGAATTAGACTGACAGGAGTGACATCAGATATTTGATTACTTCAAAAGAATGATAAAGATTAATACAACGCAGGTGTCCCTACTGTTAAGAACTTAAAATTTTACGTCGATAATTTTCAGATTTCAAAATAATGTAATATATTCTCAATACTGATCCGTCCTTTCTTCTGTCACAAAAAAAATAGTGTATTATACACGGGAAAAATATTAGATTTTAGCTCTCGGTTTTTTGTCTCACAACCTGGAGCTAAAATCTACTACTTCTTTCCCTTGTATGATAAATAACTATTTTTCATTGCAACTGCTTCTCCTGCTTTTTATTCCGTGAATAACTTTCAATTACTTTTCATTTAAAAAATGGCCTCTCAGCAGAGGCCACAGTTATAGGTATAATGAATTTTTGGTATTCATTTACTCCACTGTGTCTGTCGTTAGGAACCTAAATTGATTTTCTCACGCTTTTTTTATGTGAATAATGAGTCTATGCGTTGCTTGAAATTGTTGAATTTCAAAGCTCATTTCAAACGAACCTTCATGCCCGCCATTGGCGCCATTTGGCGATACGTCGAATAAATGGTGAAGTTAATTTTTATACTGTTGCGTTAATGGTTAGATCATTGTCGATCTAAATGAAAACCTAGTAGGCGACCTAGTGCGAGGAGGTATAGCTCCAGCCTACTAACTACCAAACTAGGTTGTCATCTAGAACGACAATGGTCAGATAATCAGGATAATCTTCGATTTCCACTCATGAAGCAAGGTTGTCAAGTCACCAATTATAATCAAGTTACCAAAAAGATGTCCTATTGTTGAATAAAACAAAGGTAATAGGAGAAACCTATGGTGTTATAGTTCATTCTTGACTTTTACGAGCAACCAGCATGTCCAAATATTTCCTATTCTCCATAACAACATATCATGTGAATGTTGGAGACTTGACAACATTGTGCTGAAAGCTGAGAACTGACAAGACCACGCCCACAAGTCGTGCGCCGTGGTTGTCACGTTCACCGAATGTTATTATTCTACTCGAACATCATTCGATCACTGCCATCATTTCATGATTCACTCTTCTTCCAGGATATCAGAACATGGATAGACACGAAGGGTTCGACTTTGACGGTGCCAAAACGGTTTTAAAAGACCTAGCCCACTTTCACGCAGTACCAGTAGCCATGAAACTCCTCGAGCCCAAACTGTTCCAAGAAAAAATCCAGAAAATCTTCGACATCAAACCACCCTCACCGCCCAAAAAACCAGAAGGCAAACCAGATGAACCACCACCACCAATGCCAGCCCTGACGAAAGAACTGATGGTCGCGGTCCTAGAAGAAGACGATAAGTGCGTACCTGCCATCCCTAGCTTCCTCGAGATGATAGAGAAACAGAGGAGTATAAGCTTCGAAGAGATGTTGAATATGAAACAGCGAGAACCCTTCGCCACCATGGCGCACATGGACATGTGGTTGAACAACACCATGCAGAAGCTAGACCACAAGAACAGACCCATCAAAAACAAATTCGTCGATTTCCAGGTGTTGTCTTACGCCAGCCCTGTTAGAGATCTACTTTTCCTCTTGATCACCAGCGTGCAACTCTCTGTCTTGAAGACCCGTTTCGACTACCTGCTGAAATACTACCACGATAACTTCACGAAAGTTCTTAAGGAGTTGGGATGCGACTTAACGCCTTTTAGCTATGAGAACTTTATAGAGGAAGTGAAGGCGATGGCGCCCGCTTCGATTGAGCATGGTTCGTTTTTCTTGCTGATCATCGTTTCCGGGAAGAAGGGAGTGGCTGCTGATCCAACTCAGGCTGCTAAGTTGGTCAAGGATGATCTCGATCAGAAGGCTCGCGAGAAATTCAGATTCATTATTCATGAAGCGTATAAAAGAGGGTGGATGCATCAAAGCTGAAGAATATTGAAGGAAAAAATCTAGGATGGATTTCGATTACTGTGATCCAGTATTGAGGCATATTTAAAAATTGAGAATTTTATTTAGCAAAGATAACCGATTTTATATTCAAATAGTTATTTATTTACTATTAGGAAGATAAAGTGTCTATTATAGTCGAGTCAGGCAAGAAAATATAAATTTTCGCCGAGGAGCATATTGAATTGTTTCTTCGGCCTCAAACAATCTATCGGATTTCGTGAAGAATCAATTTGACAACAACAAATGGCAGTTCGATTTTTATTCAATCAGTAAATACCTTTTCAAAATTTTAGATCTATTTCATGATTTACGAATTCGAAGAAAGGGTAATGAAATAAATAACCTATAACGTCAAAACGTTATGTACTGCTAGTAAACAGAAAACTAACCTATTTCCAACAAAATAGGAACAAGCAAAACAAACATTCTTATAAAAAAATAATCATATTCCTAATTCTCATTTGAAAATACTCACAAATAACACAAAATACAGTTACATATAGGTACTCCTCAGATTTGAGTATATAGAAAATAGGGATGAATAGTGAACAACATAAATACATAATAAATAACAAAATAAACCTAAGAAACCAACTGTAATGACAGTAATATTTAGAAAATTGAATTTGTTCTGAATCAGATGATTCAGAACAGGATTTTTTTTCTGTCGAAACTGTTCATTATTCGTCAAAACGGTTTACATGTCCCTATCTCAACTTTTCACTCACTATCAATTGGTGTTCAATTGACATTTAATTGAAACAAATGATAAATTTAGATTTTTTGACCAGCTTGTATCAATTTCAATTGAACACCAATTGATAGTGAGTGATCACCCTGTATCTGTTCCGATTAAATATCAGTAAATGGTAAATCAAAAGTTGAGGCATTGTCGATCTAAATGGAAACCTAGTTAGGTAGTTAGTAGGCGAGAGCATAATATTGTCTGTTCTTTGAAAAAATAAATGAAGGCGTTCAGTAGTACAGAGACATCAATGTGAACCAAGTAAACTAAGTTATTCATTTGTCAGACCTAACCGTAACATTTTTCATGGTCCTGTCAAGTTTGTAAATAAAAATCTGTCATGTGGAATCCCGAAAATGAAACATTATCACGAAGGATATTATCAAGTATGAAAACCATCTACCTATACTTGAATGGAAGCAGGAAGATGTTTAGGCAATGCTGTATTAGTATGATTCATGATGCAACTTGAATTTAAGTTGGAACTGTGGAAACTTCGGAAACTCAATAGTGCTATTACACTTTTTCGACATGCAAGCCAAGCAGAAAGGTAGGGGCTGCTTTTTTTCTTCTATATTTTTGATAAGTTACTCTATAATTCGTGAAATTCCATTATTTGCAGTGAAAACATGTCTTTAGTGATGTAAACCATGTACACATCGGAATCACTATATACTTGAAAATTTCAGGTACCTACCTACAGGGAAGAGTACTTACATTAATAGCTTTTCAGTTGAAAAACGGAAAACTATGAGTGATGTGGAAGTATCACATTAGAAATCATTATGTGAGTAATGTTCAGAAGGAATGTACCAGAAGGATGATGATGTTCCAGAACAGAATGGAAAATTTACCATCTGAAATAAATATATAGAAGCACTAAGGTTAGACTCAATCTGGTTATTTCATCAATGTCTCATAGATATTCTGCTCCAAACACAAAATATCATTATATTTTTTATAGATAGGTACCTCCTTGAAAGTCGAGCTGCAAAAATATCCAGTTCACAAGATTTTATGAAAAAACACACAAGAAAATGGGGCAGTGAATAAAATCAGAAACTTCTCATCCTGTAGTTCGATGAGCTGAATCCAGATAAGCAGTAAGAACAACGATTTGTTTGCTGGAAATAGCCAGGCATTTCATTCTAGGCTACGAATTATACACACCCCAATGTATATTCAATTTATCCATTTTTCAAGCAATCAATTAGATGATGAGGAACATGTGATATTCCACTCCAGCACACTCAGGACCATTTTCGTAGTGAGCCACTCAGAATTTCACTAGAGTAAAGTGATTTCAAGATTGTATAGGAATCATCCTCAGATATATGGTATTCTATTGTTCAGGGTTCTTTGTCAAGATGCTGGGATATTTAGAATTTTTTATTGGAATATAACTTGTATGTATTGTATGAATGGCAATACAATTTAATTTTTTTAATAAATTGTACATAATTATGAAGAATTATTTCAATTTTCATTCTACTATATAGTTTGTTCTCTTCTGATACCCTGTTTATTGTTGTACAGATGTATTGGCAGATGAGTTTGAAAACACTATATATATTGTACAAATATTGTATATAGGTGAAGTATTTTTGAAGTAAAACAATGATTATTTTTTATTAAATCATCTTATTGAAGCTACGAACTTCACTAAATATGAGAAGATGTGTCTATTATTGGCACAAATTAAACCACAGGAACATTCAATACCAATATGTATCTTTTTAATTTATATTTAAGTCAACATTTTGAATGAACTTTATTATTATTTATTATCATTCTATAATATCTGTTCAAATGCCCGTTTCCTCCTCAGATGCTTCTTCATCGTCAGGTCCTGTTCCTTAAGGCAGGAATTCCTCTTCAGCATCATATTCCAAACAACATTGCCGAGTCTGAAAATATAAAAATATTGTCCCTAGTTTCAATGTCCTGTACCATTCTGAAATGAATTTAATGACTTTTGACTATGGAACAACTTTTAGAGGAACCAAAGTCAAGTTCTTGGTGAATTTCATACGGAAACTAATAATTAGTTAGTTAGTATAGGTACAAATTTGTTAAATACCATTTTATTTATATATTTCTACCTTGAACAAACTTGGGACCGTACTCTCTTTCCAAAACCGTTTCCTATTCTTCATTGGCAAGAAACAGTTCCCTTAAAATGTTGGAAACATATAGTATCATGTTCGCTTACTTCAAAAACTCACATTCCTGAAATATAAATATCATTAAGTTCCAAATATTATGTGATTCAAGAAAGAAAGTTCACCTTGATATCCAATGAATATGGCGTGAACCCATTGACGCCTCAGGATTTGAGGCTCAAATTCACAACAGTGGGGATTGGGGAAACCATGTCTTGATAATTCAATTACACCTTCACCTCCTGGAGTGCGCAGTTTTCAGATGACATTGCAAAATAACACAATCGCACTCACAAACCAATCAACAAACTCTGATAGAAAACCAATACTAGAAGAAATGATTAGGTATAGGTATAATTGTTATTTCCAAGAAAGGAAATCAAAGTTCAACACATCCACAAAGACGAAGTTATAAGTTAATGACAACTGTCAGAAAATGATTTTATGATTACATGAATCTTCTCCATCGTCTTCCTATCAAATATCACGTCAATGATGGAAAGCACGTCTGTGGTTGAGTACATATTGGAGAAAAATAGAAGAAGAGAATATCAACCTAATATGGTCTATTTTGACAGAAACAAATGAGCTTTTTCCATTTTCAGGATGCCAGCGCCACTTGACAGGCAGACAGATTTTGATTCAAAGAACAGACAATATTGTACCTCCTCGCGTACTAGGTCGCCTACTAGGTTTTCATTTAGATCGACAATGGTTGAGGTAGGGACATATATGTGAACCGTTGTGACGAATAATGAACAGTTTCGACAGAAAAAAATCTGAACTTGGAAAATCACGATTTTCCACACCCTATATGTCAGTAACTTTCACTGCTAGACCCTAAGTATGATGGGTCGTTGAAATCAGATCTTCAGGGAGAATTCAAAAATGAAATAAAATATAGGGTGTTCCAATGAAAAAAACATAGCTTTGATGTGCTGTGACCTTACGGAACACCCTGTGTATTTCAAAGAAATTTTGAAATTTGGAGCTCGGTTATTACTTCAATTTTGATTCATGAATTTTTTTTGTATCTCTCAAGACAACAGAGAAATCGAACTCTGGAGTCTTAGTTAGCCACCCTGTATACAATGCACAAAAAATGCAGCGAGAGACGAAGGGATATGATTTTTCAGGTAAATAATAATCTCACATAGTTTTCATTATGAAATTTTGTTTTGCTAATACTGCTAAAAGATTGAAAATGTCTACAACACACACGATCATATTTCGTCAGCATGTCAGACCAATCCTCCCGTTTGATTGTATGAACCCAATCTTCTTGCGTTCTTTTAGACATTTCACGAGTATTTCATTTAACTCCTATTGCAAAAGGAATTACGATGAGAAATCAGAGAAATTACCAAATTTCAGAATGAAAGCTATATGTGAGTGACTAAAGTAGGTACTTACTTTTGAATCATAATGTACTAACCGGATTCCTTCGTCTCTCGCTGCATTTTTTGTGCATTGTACAACAGCACAATGTGATGTTATGTGCGAATTACTCTAACCCCCCCCCCAGACTCCTTTCTCTGACAATATGTCAAGATCTATGATTATGAGCGAGCCTTCAAAACAGATGAAGAATTCGGTTCTTGAAGAATTTCATAGTTTAACTCCATGAATGCTGGATAATGTTTAGAATTCAACTAGTAGAAAGATGTTATGTATATGCTTAGAAAGCAATAATGGCAATCTTTTTGAACATCTCTAGTGAATTCATCAGTTTCCTATCTGTTTTGACTTTTAAAGTTCGATCTGTGCATATTTATTTCTTTACTGTAATATTTTATTGAATTGTCGATTATTCACATATTCGAAAATCATGTCGATGTAGCATTGTTGAATATTCATTTTGAATAATCAATCTTTTTTCACAGATTTATAAAACATTCAGGTCATTATATTCCAAAAATTACTTGATGGCCAAAATAACATCGAGAGGCATCATAACCACAATATATATCATCGAAATCGGAATGAAGAGAGATATTCCAATGTGATATCAGAACATCAGGGTCGTATTTGAAAAAATGGAGTTGATTATGGTTGATCATGCATAGACGAAACGTTGGATCAGAAAATCGATGATGCCAAATTGGATAGTATCAAAAATTGTCATGCAGATATGTTATTTCAGTTTTGTCATGACTTCATTACTAAGCCCAGAAAAAAAAATTGAAAATCGGGAAATTCAATTTTTTGGAAATAACTCTGAAACGAAATGTCAAATCAGAGATTTTTGGAAATCATTTTGTTGGTCCATCACTAGCATAATAATGAATGCAAATTCATTGTTCATGAGGCTAACAATAGAAGGTGGATGCGATAGGAAATCCAAAAATTTTCGAATTCTTTCCACCATCTATCTACATAAATGAATCCGAGGGGCGAACCGCAGACGAAAATTTGTACACCAGACTTCACATTTTGCTAAGACTTCACTGACTTCATCGAGACTTCACTGACTTCATCATGACTTCACTGACTTCATCATGACTTCACTGACTTCATCGAGACTTCAGTGAATTCATCGTGACTTCACTGACTTCATCAAGACTTCACTGACTTCATCGAGACTTCAGTGACTTTATTGGTACTTCTTGGAACATGTATTTCTTGGTATTTCACAGACTACTTGATACTTCTCAAGATTTCCATTGAGATATCACGACAATCATTGGAAATTCAATTACGTTGAGAAGTGACGTCATTATGTAGTTCAGTAAACGAACAAAAAATAGGGGAAAAATCGTGTAGTCGCAACTGTCTGTAGTGATAGAGAAAATTGCCATGAACAACATACTAAAAGTCCTTACCCCTCGTGAGCGGGGCAGTAGTGGAACGTTTGAAGGTAATTTTCTCGATTTTTTCTCTTCCTCAAGAACTATTTATTGTAGACAAGAAATGAATCGAGACTTTTTCATATAGGCAATTCCATGTTGTTCAATTTTGTAGAACTTCAATTTTTCACTAGAGGTTGCAATTTTCGAATTGTTCAAGAACAACTCGAAAAAATGACGTTCAAACGCTCCCCTACCGCCCTACTTAGGTATACTGTTCAGGACACTTCCCTCTACCACTGTACAAAAATTCGTGACTATACACAATTTGTTTTCCCTATTCGACCTATTTTGGCGTTCGTTGGTTGAACTAATTATCGAATGTATAGTATTGATAATGCATATTTTCCTAATATAATAATATATGATATTATTCTTCTTGATTCATATTTTATACATATAACTACGACACAGTTTTCAGAATCTTCAACATCACATTACCCGAGACTGATTGTGGGTGGGTTTTCCGAGAACACAAATCATTTCCGTGTTAGAAAGTTGCCAACATTTTGCCAAAAAAAATTGAATGAGCCTGGACCTAGGATTATTTTTCCATCAAAAGCAAGGGGCCAGAGTCCAGACGAAGGGCCAGACCGATAGACAAACAAACATTTTAATATTTTGTTTGAGTGAATGTATAATGTTTGGTTGATTGTAGCATGATATTCCTTCGAATATTACGCTGGGATAATTCATTCGATTCAAGGCGAAGAGGAAATGAATGAGAAAGAAGGGTCACTCGGATAGACGAGAGGATAGAAGACTGTTGTATTTCGCGGGAAATTCAGACCAACCTGGTACGTAATTATATTACGATTTTCACGAGGATTTTCAGTATGAGACTTCACTGACTTCATCATGACTTCACTGACTTCATCATTACTTCACTGACTCCATCGAGACTTCATTGACTTCATCGTGATTTCACTGACTTCATCATGACTTCACTGACTTCATCAAGACTTCTTCAACGTGTACACCAGACTTCATTAGCGGTTCGCCCCTCGAATGAATCGATGAAAAAACAAAAATTCTTGAATGGCGTAGAGAAAAGAATTGCAAAAAGCAACAATGAAAATATTATCAAATTGTTTGAATTGGTTCAATCATATATGAGTAGGTACAATCAATATCTCATCAACAATATCATGAAGAATGAAAATCATGATTTATGCATTCATTGAGAATTTATTTATCAAACGATTATCCTGTAATCGATCTCAAATCACAATTGAAGAGCCTGTTCTGAGTGTGCCACATGATATGATATGATGTGAAACTAGGTTTATAAACATTTCATTAATTTCTTTGTATCATTTGATATCTGAACCCCGAAGCTTATTCATCCAATTTCAGCGTAATTCATAATATCATAAACTCTCAGTTTGAATAAAGATTTGATGATGGGCGAACCTCTGATAAAAAATTTGGAGGAAATAATTGGCCAGCGACTATCACGCAATGAGACCATCGAAAAGGCGGAAATACTGAACCTTTTGGAACCTGGAGAAAATTATATGAGTGAAGTGAGTTTTTTAATCTTCCCCTATAATATGATATAGGTATATTTTTCTAGACTGATGAGTGCAAAATATATTTATACTATAGCTTCGGACGAAATAGATATTTTCTGTTCAATATTCAGGATGTTTATATCTGGAGGAGAATGCAAATTCTCAACTTCAGAAGATTCTGTTTTCAAATTCTTATCGTGTGTGTTCAATACATATAATTCAATGTTCGTCGTGGCATATAGCCAGGAAAGTAGTTGTTTTCTGTTGAACATTTTTATCACATAGAGAATGCGAATCCTCAATGTATTTCCTTGATTAATTTTTTCATGTTTAAAATTTATCTGAGAATATTCCTTTTCATATAGATAGTTCATTTATTTTTATATTCGGAAAACCGCTCACGCTTGGTATATGCAACGGATTTTTTTGCATAAAAGTGGTGAGGGTCAGACACCTATACAGTACCTTATACATCATACTTTGAAATACAAAATGAAAGATTACTGCATAAAATATTCAAGTGAAATTGTGGCATTTATAATATATTGAATGGAGCGCTTTCCGAAATAATGAAATGAAATCGATCCTCTGGTAAAGCAATCAAATATTCCGTCGTGGTGCTTCTTTTTTTTTCACAAAAAAATAAGTGAAACGATAGACCCTTGAGAACATACTATATTAGGGTTTGATGAGGAGCTACAGGGCGTTAAAGTGCATCTTGGAAAGTTGGTACATCCACAAGAATTCTTCCAACTTAGCCAAGTATTTTCTGGTCATCCTTTCATGCGCAAGAATTCACACAATGGCTAATTTGAGTTGCTTTTTGAGCATACATAAAAAATTTTGCCAAGAACTCGTTGGGAGAGAAGATATATGCGCCACTGTGTATAGGTTTTTTAAAAACGATGATTATTGCTAATCAAAGGTATAGTCAGAAGGTGAAAAAATGATCCAAATTGGAAGACCTTCTGACATTTATTTTCCAAGTTATCTTGAAAGAATCAATTCGCCCTGTATGCAGTTCAACGCTCTGTAGCTCCTCAACGAACTAATTGGGAATACATTAAAATGAATTGTTAATATTTCTCGTTACTTCTTTCGTATTTACGCAACATACCTTTTTGAATTGATCTTCCCGTGTATATCGACCAATAATTGAAGTTAACACCATTCAAAACGCTGCTCTTGATGACAACAACAACTTGAACAACAACCACATAGCAAGATTTCATTTCCACCGTGGAGGTATACGAAGATATATCATCAATACATAAGTCGTATCGAGTATATTGGCATTTGATTGGTCTTCAAACTAATTTTTTTTTTTTTTTCATTTATTCATATAACAAAAACATACATTGCTAAAGTATCTATAAGCTACAGTCGTTATTCATTCCTGACAAATAGTACCACAGTTTATATACTGTTACGATCCTGCTAAATGTACATCAACAACCCATCATTATTTTAATTAATCTTAAATATTGCGCTCTATCTATTTTACCTAATTTGTGACAGGAATGAGCTAGTTCAGATTTGTAATAGTTGAAATCTTGATTCTCGTCCAAAATATAAATGATTGTAGTTACAATAATAAATATCGCAAAGACATTGACTGTTTTGTTTCTAAATTTGAAATTTAACTGAAGATAGTTTGACAAAGACATATTAGAGTTAGTAAACTTATTCAAAGTCCTAATTAAAAATAATGAAATTAACCTTTCCTCTCTGCTACATACAAATCTATGTTTCATGTTATCGATCTGCTTTTGACATTTTTTGCATAAGCCTGAGTCTGCTTTACCTATCATACATAACTGTGGTTGAAAAGGGTATACATTATGAGTAATTAAATACATTAGACTTCTTTGATTGTGATCCAAAATGTCGTTATTGATGTTTTCAAAAATTAATTCCCATTTCAGCTGACCTGACGTATCTTTCTCAACCACACTCGGGATAATTTTTGAAACCATTATCGAATATTTATATATTTCTTTTGTTGAAAGCTGATTTGGCTGCAAACTTACCAAAGGAATATAGGCTCCTTCAAGAGCAATTCTTTAGGCGTGGGGTGCTTGTGACGGAATTCCGTTTATAAAAGGAGGATTCTTCATTGTTTCTATCCCACAGAACTCAATCTTCATCCCAAATTTAATTGCTTTCATTGTACTGTTTATCAATAAGGCGTTAGCTTTCATGCACGGGTCTGGGATATTCCAACCGCCTCGAGACGTAGGCAGAATAATTGTTTTTCTTGAAACTCTCAGTGTCGCTTTGTACCAAAGAAAGTATCCGCAAATTGACACGAGTCTTTTTGCTGTCAACATGGGGATAGGCAATATTTGCGCAATGTACCACGTTTTCGATAAACCATAAGTTCTAATAAATGCTGCTCTCTGAAGTAGAGATAAGCAGCGGGTCGAATTCATAATCAGAAATGAACGTACGTTATTCGTGATTTTGGTCCAATTCAATGAAAAGGGATTGATAGATTCACTCCAATTTCTGTCTGTTTTAGATGACGAAGATACACGTATCGGTGAAAAACAGAGTCACCGAGGCCGAGAGAGAAATTTACGCTATTGGCAAATGCGTCGCTAAGCCGCCGCCGAACTTCAGTGACTTTGTGACAGCTTTGTCGCCATTTTTGTTCACCAAAGAAATGATGTTTTACAAAGAAGTGATCCCCGCCATCCAGACATTTCTGAAAAACCGTGGAGCCAGCCCTGTGGATTATTACCCGGAGTTTTACGGGGGAAGGCTCAATTTGTCTGGCGGTAGCGAAGCTGACAACGATGCCGTTTTGCTATTAGAAAATTTACAAACAAGTGGTGAGTGAAAACTCTGAAGGTATAATGAATATACAGGGTGTTTCTTAAGTACGTGTAGAAAGATCAGGAGCATATTGCTGACGTCTGAATAAGGAGAAAAGTTCGTATAAACATATGTCCGAACGTTTTCCGTTTCTGATATACAGAGAGAGTCAAAGTTGAATTCTCAGATCGCAAACTTTTCTACGGTGTTCCAGAGAAGTGAGTGAGTTTGTGAGCGAGACATCACCCACGAGACGAATTGCCCTTTTTTGGACAGAATCCAAAAATTTCAGGGTATGTTTGGGTGCTGCACTTCAAATATGGGAACGACAGGTCAGATCTGTGCCTTATAGATCATAAGCAGCTGACTGGAAGTGAACTAGCTCCTGGCCCGAAACAAAAAACTAAGTTTTTGGGATGCACTTTTAGCAATTGATCTCACGTGTTTTTCCCAAGAAAGGTTATTGCCGATAGTAATACCAAGTATCGAAATGGATGCCTTCATTTCATGATTCACTCTTCTTTCAGGATATCAGAACATGGATAGACACGAAGGGTTCGACTTTGACGGTGCCAAAACGGTTTTAAAAGACCTAGCCCACTTTCATGCAGTATCAGTAGCCATGAAACTCCTCGAACCCGAACTGTTCCAAGAAAAAATCCAGAAAATCTGCGACCTCAAATTCTCCCCACCTACCGAAAAACCAGAAGGTAAACCAGATGGACCAGTACTGCCAACGCCGGCGAAAGAAGCGTTGGTCGCGGTACTAGAAGAAGACGAGAAGTGCGTACCTGCCATCCCGAGCTTCCTCCAGATGTTGGAGAAACAGAAAAATATGAACTTCGAAGAGAAGTTCAATATGAAACAGAGAGAACCCTTCGCCACCATGACGCACTCGGACCTGTGGATGAACAACACCATGCAAAAGCTGGACCACAAGAACAGACCCATCAAAAACAAATTCGTCGATTTCCAGGGGATGTCTTACGCCAGCCCTGCCACAGATCTGCTTTTTCTCTTGTTCACCAGCGTGCAAATCTCTGCCTTGAAGACCCGTTTCAATTACCTGCTGAAGTACTACCACGATAACTTCACGAAAGTTCTCAGAGAGTTGGGATGCGACTTAACGCCTTTTAGCTATGAGAACTTTTTGGAGGAAGTGAAAGCGGAGATTCCCGCTTCGATTGACCATGCGTCGTTTTTCTTGCTGGTCATCGTTTTCGGGAAGAAGGGAGTGGCTGCTGATCCAACTCAGGCTGATAAGTTGGTCATGGAAGATTTCGATCCAAGGGCTCGCGAGATATTCAGATTTATTGTTCATGAAGCGTACAAAAGAGGATGGATGCAATAGGATATTGAAAAATTCTTGAATTATATCCTAGGACAGATCATAGAGGTCTGTGGAGAGAGAGCAGAGTATTCAAAATTGATTTGTAATGTGTCACCTCCGAGGTCACCCTCCGTTATCCTAGTAATTTTCTTTGGTCATTTAAAACCTTTTCTGGAATCATTTTTTGTTTATATCAACAAAATACAGCAGGCTAAGAAAAAAATGTTTTCTTCAAATGAAATGATCTGAATTTCATTCGATAATAACATATATGAATGATATATATTTATGAATTCAGATTGAATGAATGTTTATTCACATGCAAAATTCACAAGCGATGTTTATAGAAAAATATCTCGGTCCACCACTGAAATCGGCGTCCTCTGAGATAGATCTGTACCAAGTTTCATGAGGAAATATTCAACATTAACGAGTCTACAGCGTGTCTCATCTAAAACGGCTCCCCATATATATCTCATCAACATGATCAGATTTTCAAAGACTGTCCCAAATGATGTTCGTCTTTTTTGCTTATTAATATACAGAAAATTATTTCCTCAACAAAATGAAGAAAAAAAATTATGGCCATTCTAAACCATAAGAAGTGCATATTGGTGAGCTCCCTCTAATGGCCATAGTGAGAAGGTATCCGTATTTAGGTTTCGCATCCCCAAAAGCCCCCGCGGCTACCAATTTTTGAAGTGATACGTTCAAAAATGTTCATAAATTTCGAAAAATTCGATTATCACTTTTTAAATTTACCACAATGTATCTCGGAAATGGAACAATTTTGGACTGAGGTAAGTTGCTTCGAATTTTGACTTCAGGAAAAGGAATATGTGCAAAGATTTTGTAGAGACCTTTTCGGGAATAATGAAATATTTTGAATATGCTTTCTTATCAGGAATTCGATGCGATTTAATCTTGATCATAATCAAATACATCAGCTGTGGCGTCATTCACACTCAAAAACATGATTTCCACATTATTTTGTTCTGAATCTTTCATAATCATTATCAATATCTTGGTATTATCTTTCATCTACATTAAGTATTATGTATCTCATCGATATCAGTACCTACATAGAATAGCACTTTCACACCCCTATGGAACGTTTCAAGTGACCCAAGCTCATCTTCTCAAAGTTTTTGATAGTTGTATATTCGAGCAGACGCACATATGTTTCATCATAAAGTATGTAGTAAATAGCAATAATCATTTTGATTATAAGTAAAATAAATGACATTCTTGTGGAAATCATCTGTATTCGCATTTTTGCCCACCAAGAAATGTTTACTATAACCCAGCGAGCACAAACATCCCTGAGTGTTTTGGGATGTTTTGAAAATGTTGGCATGAAGATGCGTTATTTTGAGACGTAATATATGCACTGACCAAAGAGGTCTTTGAAGGATATTGAAGTATTGTTTTGTTCTTCTGTGGCATTTCTTTGTTTGCCTACTGAGAGGTATCCCTGGGATGTTTTGAGATATTTTAGAAATGTAGGCATGAGGATGTTTTTTTGAGGCGTAATATGCACTTCCCAAAGAGGTCTTAGAAGGATATTGAAAGTATTGTTTTTGTTCTTTTGTGCCCTTTCTTTGTTTGCCCCACCACAACGTCTCATGCTTACGTCACAAAACGATGAATTCTGATTTGTTTTCGATTTTGTTCTTCTTGTTCGCAATTGGCATTCGCGTTTGCAGCGTGTCACGCTTACATCACGCTGCTAACGAACAGAAAGGAATTTGGTGTAGTTTATTGTGTTAGAAGACTTATTATTTAGTTTGTAATAATGACCATCAGATGCAAGATGTCTTGTTCGGTGCCTCAGTGTAATCAATATATAAAAGTACGAATTTATCGATACACAGCTTCTCCGCAGTTGCAAAATTATGCATTGTGGAGAACATTTCAAAAATTGGGAAACCTATTTCCAATTATTTGTCTGTGTGTAGTAAGCACTACTCAGAAACCGATTAAGAAGGTAATTTCATATCAAGAAAATATTTTTATGTTCAATCTATTTTTAATGCATTTTTTCATTCAAGGGAAATGGAATCCTAATGCAAAAGTTCATTTTGACAGAAGGCTTCAGAAAAGTACCTCGAAAATGTTTTTTTTACAGCGATTTAATGTGCGCAAGACGCGTTGAAAATGTTTTGTTGTGTCCATAAAAAGAACTAGGGAGAAGGTAGTTTTGTGACATATCAAGGACATCTCGATAATTGCCGCCTGCGGCGGACATTGGCTGTTCTATAATAGCTCTATTCATGTGTGAACAGAACATCGCAGTGGAGGTTCAATGTCTCGAAATCTCGTACTTTTAACATCTCTGAGATGTTTTTGTGCTCGCTGGGAAACCGGTATTATAACTCAGAAATGAGTTGAATAAATAAGTTCGAGTAAATGATAAAAAAGTTTATGAATAACATGCACTGATGAGTGCGCGTAATTTCAAAGTCAATGCAGCTCTTATAGTAGGAATCTACTTGTCCCCATCCATCGACTAATTTTTACAGAAATCAAATATTTTTATTCGTTTTCGAGATGATGGCGTGCGGAGTTTTAAGTGAAAAACCCTAGATGTACCTAAAAATGACTTTCACCAATAATAATTTTATTGAAGATGGGTTTATATAACTATAACCAACTGTACGAGATAGTTATAGGGAACTTATACACAGTTAGATGGTAAAATTTCTCAACTTCCCAAGAAACAAATAATATACAGGATGTTCCATTTTTAAAACCGAGTTTTCAGTCCCCGAAAAGAAGTTAAATATACTCTATGACCCGGTTCATAGGTGGAATATACTCAAAATAGTGTTATGCAGCTATGTATGCAAATAACAATTTTTTGTGGATGTGTATTGTGAAAAAAATCTTTAGTTAGTTTTTGCGAAAAAAATTTACAAAATAATTTGTTTCGCCAAAACTGTTATAGATATATCAAGAAAAGTTATGAGAGAACTCATATATAAGGATTCTATATGTAGTATAATATATACGAGGTGTTCCATTTGCAATAGGAAAGTAACTACTACTTTCTGATCTAATTTCCAAATAATCTTTGAGCAGATCGTATTCGATATTTGTGAGCGATTAAATTTCACCTTCAAAATGTACCTAATTATTAAAACAATGGGAGATAACGATAATTTTCAAGTATGGAATTTGGATTGTCACGTACAAAAAATAATGGAAAACTTTGAGATACACGATGCCCTAACAAAGTTTGATCTTCAGAAATTATCATTCTCGCTGATCACAATATTTGGAGAACATTATTAATTGTATTCTGAAATATGCTTCAGAGTCAGCTAATCCTTATTTTCTATGCTTTTATTGAGGATAGCAACTTAGCTACCGAGATGTATGAATTTTTAAATTTCAAAAAATACAGGATGATCCAAGATTCAAAATTTTGATCACCCTGTATCTGTTCCAATTAAATGTCAGTACATAGTGAATCAAAAGTTAAGATAGGGACATGTAAGCCGTTTTGACCAATGATGAATAGTTTCGACACAAAAAAATCCTAAAGTTGAAGAATCTCGATTTTGAACACCCTATATCTCTGTAATAATTCCTGCTAGACTCCAAGTGTGATGCATTGATGAAATCAGCTCTTCGAGAAGAATCTAAAAACGCAATGGAATACAGGGTGTTCCATTTGAAATAACAAAGATGATGCTACTTTTTGGTAAAAGTGGCAACGCTGCATCGCTGAAAATATTTTGAATCGTTAGATCACGAACGCTTATTAGAGTAACCAAATTTTCAGGATAATCCAATGTACCGTTTTCCGTATACGTCTAAGGTACCATCGACCGTGGGCCACCCTGTATACTGATAAATTATAGCAAATCATTGTTCGAATATCTAACAGAGCCCTACTGCAACTATTTTTCCCTTGTGTAAAAACACAAGCTCTATCACATAATGCAATAAAAACTTAGCTTTCCATTAAAAAATTTTTTTGATGACGTCATAACTTTGAGAACTTTGTCGTGTTATTTTTGTAACTTATGTCAAAAGATGTGGAATAAAAAATACAGTTTGACGTGTTTTTGCATTTTTTCAAAAGTGATCGTTGTATGTTTTATGAATTTTGTGCATTACTTTATCATAACCCTGTATATATAAACAATCACCCTGTACGTTTCTGAATTTTTGATTATATAATATGATAATCAAAGGTAGTCAGAAAAAAGATATACAGTCAGGATAACCATTATTTTTAATAGTAGATTTTATTGTTCATCAAAAAGTTCAAGTTGAATCACATTTTGTTTATTTCAAGAGTGTAGAAATATTCCATTGAAGAAAAAATAATGAAATGTAAAATCACATAAAATTATGTAAACCCTATCTGAAATCAGGTCTATTCAATGTATTAAAATCACTATTAAAATCACAAGTAAAATCATTGGAAATTCCATGGTGAGAATGAAAAAAACTAGGTACATAAATGTATTGATTTCACAAAATACAGTGTTTTCTTCTGATGTTAACTTTTTTAGATCCCTTTTGAAATCATGAAATAAAATGCACTTTTATGCCATTGGGTTCTGTTTCATCAGAGCTATATCAGCATCCATCATTTCTTTTACTAATTCAACAAAAGTAACTTTTGGTGTCCATTTGAATTTTTCTTTGGCTTTTGATGAATCCCCTAATAAAAAATCCTGAAAAAAGTACCTAAATTATTGTTTGTGAAAATAATACCTACCAATATTATGACAAACATAGACAAACAGTATAATTCTTGAGCATTTTGAAATGATAATAATACAAAATCATTATATTAATTAGTGCCAGAATGAAAGAAGTTTGTTTCAAAATATTCCAAAAAATCTTCTTGAAACTGTCAGATGATTTTTTCACATTTTTTGGAAGTGAAAAAAAACTGAATATGAAAGGAATTTTCACTATGAAGAATGTAATACCCACCACTTCAGTAGGTCGGAAATACTTTGGATTTATTTTGACTCTAACAATTCCTGTGCCTTTCTCTTTGCCTACTTCTTCTAGCCCTGTTCCTTCCCAGACAATTTCTTGACCTATATGACCAAAAGCAGCTTCCACAAATTCCCTGACACTGTGGGTTTCCCCTGTGGCTATGACAAAATCCTCAGGAGTCTCTTGTTGCAGCATCAACCACATTGCCTAAAATGATTTGAACTTTGTCTTTCATTCAAATCATCAACACCAAGAAAGAATATTGGATGTTACCTCAACATAGTCTCTAGCATGTCCCCAATCTCTTTTTGAATCTAGATTTCCAAGTTCCAGAGAAGAAGATAGACCCAAATGAATTTTTGCCACTTCCCTAGTTATTTTTCTGGTAACAAATGTTTCTCCTCTTCTGGGGCTTTCATGGTTGAATAAAATGCCATTGCAAGCAAACATATTGTATGCTTCTCTATAATTCACCACTATCCAATAAGCATAAAGCTTTGCACAAGCTATAAGGAATCAAAGCATCAAACATAGCTTCCTTGATAATTGAGAATGAGAATCACTTACCATAGGGTGATCTGGGGTGGAATGGTGTTTTCTCATTTTGTGGAATCTCTGCAACTTTCCCATAAAGTTCAGAAGTGGAAGCCTGATAAAACTTTGCTGAACCATCTATTCCACTTGTTCTGATGGCATCAAGTAGCCTCAATGTGCCTACTGCATCAACCTCAGCAGTATACTCACTCAAATCAAAAGACACCTTCACATGGCTTTGTGCTGCTAAATTGTAGATTTCTGTGGGTTTTATTTTGCAGATGATTTTTACTAGACAACTAGAGTCAGTCATGTCGCCATAGTGCAGTTGGAATTTCCCACCTTTGTGAGCATAAGGTTCAGAATAGAGGTGGACTATTCTGCTGGTGTTGAAACTGCTGGCTCTTCGAATGATGCCATGGACTTCATAGCCCTTGTTCAGGAGGAATTCGGAAAGATATGATCCGTCCTAGAAAATATAGCAGAGCTTCAGGTTTACCAGACCATATTTTTGAAAGTTCATGATGCCCTCTTCAACTAGGTATACATTGTTTATAATTATGATTTGATTTCAATACCTGCCCACTTATACCGGTTATAAGAGCAACTTTTCTGTCCCCATTGGTATCACTGGTCGACATTTCACACACTTATTCTAATGTATTCTACGTGAGTTATGCAAATTTCACTGAATACTTTGATACTGATTGAATATTCACACAATTTTTATTCCCATAGCATAGCGATAACTGGAAACACAAGTCAAATTTCGCCATGTGTACAAAAAAATAACCACCTCACCACCTGTAGAAACGATTAACAATAAACAAACAAACTGATAACAGTAATAACAGTGATAATAACTGGAGTTGATTCAGCTCCGGGCTCCAGCTGATAACATAACATAACCACAAACCACAAAAGTCATAACAGTCGAGGACACACGTGACACAAAATGACACGGAACAATAATTATGATGATATTTTCGACAAAAGCGTTGCCAAGTCTATGAAAAAGTTGATATTACGAGAATATTCCAAGATCAGTTTTCGAACAAGAACACTTTCAAATATTCAAATTAACCAATAGCATTTATCCGTGTTCCAGAACTACGACTGTTCTTTACTCGTCGCACTGGTGCACACTTTTTTGCAATCAGTCTAATTTCTGTTTTCCACTAGATTTTTTTTCCATATTTAGCAGACAATGCTCTTTCTATTTCGTGTTCAATTTCAGCAGTGAAAAACGACTTGAGAGAACACAGATACAGAAATGAAACATGGGTGCGTTTTTAATTCCAACATCTTGTCAGGCGCATGAATCGAAGAAACCATCGAGCTGTTGCAAAAATCCGCTGGAATGTTGATGGGAATTCATCAAACTGTTGTAATAAAATGCAAACTTTCGAATCGCTTTGCGAAAATCCAGCGGTTTGGAGGAGAGTAACATGACGATTGACACATTGTATTTTGTTTCGATTCGATGAAAAACAGAAAATATTGAGGATTTTTGAGCCCATCAAAATATCTCAGTTCGAAGATAAATTCCATCCAGAACAATTATTGGTGCCGTCTCGACAAAAAAGGGCATCTATCCAGTGCGCCCTTTATTCCATGGAATGAAAAACACGCTCATCGTATATTGACGTACATGACAGATGAATATTTGACTTTAGTTGTCAACAGTGTCAACTGACTACTGACTAGTGACTGTACAAAAAAAAAACAAACAATTTGAAGTTTGAACAGCTGTGCAGGCTGTGCTTTAGCTTCTGTTTTTTTTTGAGTTTCAAGTTTCAATTTTGTCTGGAACAAGTCAGTGAAGTCCTGAAATGAATTTTGATAATAATAATTGATATATATTTATTCCCAAAGCTCATTTTTCGAGAGTGATATAAGTGAAACAAAGATATCAGAATGAAGTATTACATTTGCTTCCTAGTTTTGCTATGGACAGTCACTATTTCCAATGTAGGTAGCAAAGTCTTGGAAATATATTAATTGACGAAAGACTCGATGAAAGAGTGTTAACAAAATGATGTGATTATTTTCAGTCCCAATCTTACGAGGACAAAAGATGCAAATGTATCTGTCCAAGCATAGCATCAGTAACCAACAAAACGGACACAATGAACCAAACCTCTAGGATTCTATATATCACTAATGTACCTCCAAATAAATGGTAAGAATTAATGTTAAGTTTTTCTTCTATACTAGATAATTATTCCAGATTAATTACAGCAATTGTGATGGTGTGATTCTACCAAGGATAGGCCAGTACATTATAGGAAAAGAGCAAGAATTCTGTCCTAGATGTGAATGCAAGTATGAAAACAGAAACACAACCATCATCAAAGTTGTAGTTATAATTGTCATCTGGGTCATATCCATTCTGGTAATTTACATGGCTTTTTTGATCATCCTGGATCCTCTGTTGAACAAGAGGATTAAAGGGAACTACCAGGAGCACACAAATGAAGAGGTTGTATGCCTGTTGAATTGATTGATTTGTTTTCATTGATGGTCTTTTTGCATAGGATGAGATGTCTCCTGGTCCAATGTCTCATAATATGAGTGTGAGAGGCAATGTCCTCAATAGGGTGGGACATCAGCAAGATAAGTGGAAGAGACAAGTCAAAGAGCAACGTAGAAATATCTATGATCGGCATACTATGTTAAATTAGGGGGGTGGAAAAATGGGATTGTTTTAGAGTAGCTATTTTCTTGAATGTTTGAGTGATTTGGCAAAAAGGGGGGATAGTCTTGAATTGTTTTGGATCTATTTTATTCTCAATGATCATGCTTGTATTTATTTCTAGTGTATAATTTTGTAAATAGATATTTAGTTAGTTCTAAGAGTTCATATAGGTTGCATTGCTTTGGTATCCACTACTGCATAAGCTTTGATTATAATTATTATAGTGTATTCCAGGTAACAATATGAATTCATGAATATATTTCCTAGTTTTATTCATTCTTTCTTTCTATCTTGTCTTCAATCCACCTGGATGTTGAACTTTCTACTTTGACAAGATTATGCTAAAATTGCTAAAATGCTACAGAAAATGATAGAAATCTAGAATCGATAGTTTTTCATAAAACTCTTTATACATTGAACGTCAATGTCATATGCAGCAATAATTTTAGTGAGGTATGTCAAATAACATGAATTTAGGGGTATCGATTGTTTTGTTTCAAACTCTTCATTCTCCAAAAATAGAGATTGGCCGATTACCATTATCGATAATTTCCCATCTCTACTATGAAACCCACTTTATCATCAGTTCTACCAACCTTGAACTAACTGTTTGGTGGCGACACCTTTCCCATGAAGACGTCAACTAGGTTGTCCATTTTACAAAGGTCGCTGTACAGAGAAAATACCTACAAAACAGAAATAATTTACTAATTTAGTCAAAGTTTAGTTACCCACTCAAAGTATAGAGGGCGGTAACTAGATGAATACAGATTGCCAGAAGCCAAAAAGCAGTGCCGGTTTGAGGGTAAGTGTCATCGGAAAATATTTTCTGGCGCGGCATAGGCGGAACTTAGTATGATTTCCAGTTCCAGATCAAAGTCGTGTACATCAGTTTTTCTCCAACAACCTCATGTTATCACATTCGCCCTTATTTGTTCATTCGTTATTTCATGATTCAGAGAAAATATTTACATGAGTGAAATATATTTTTTTTCATTGTAATTTTTTTTGCCTTAGCAGTGATATCATTTATTTAGAACCGTGATAATCTCTCGAGAATAACAACTTTCCGTTAACACTGCTATATATATATGCGTCATTGCCATAATAATACAAATCTTATTAATAAGAATCCAGGGACGATATGATTGTTTTTTGAAAACCATCCTGTATTAATGAATATGCCCGCCCAGTCAGCACATCCTTTTGTTATGGTCAACCTCGAAATATGTCGAACGGCACTTTATCAAAACTTGTTTGTCTATACAAATAACGGCTAAGCTCTGGAATTCATTGCCTGAGGAACCCAGCGAGCACAAAAACATCTCAGAGACGTTAGCCTTTTTTTACACCAGTAATACACCTTATGATTCTTTTTCGAGAAACGAAGATATTATTTGACAGTGTTGAGTCTCCCCATTGGCAAATACCATTCCTCAGTTGACTTTCCACTTGTGCGTAGTATGAATTCATCAGTTTTTGCTGTGTTGCAACAACTCTGAGATTTCTGAACATTGTAGTGAAGATATATGCTGAAAGTTTGGGAATCAGGAGCTTGCAATTTTCTTTCCAATCTGAATGTGAGTCAATGATTACTTCTAAGAATTTACAGCTGTTATTTATACAATTCCCTCTGATGACTATGCAATTTCATAAGGTTATAGTTTTGCCTGAATCATTGAACCAAGAAGTCAGTTTTAGGATAGAGCAGGTTTCTTTAAATATTATTTGGTTTTTGTTGGAAATCAGTAGAGAAGTCTCATCTGCATAAATTGTCATATTAATATCAGGAGTTGAGTTGGTGATTTCATTTATGTATAAAATGAAAAGAACTAGGGCCAACACAGATCCTTGGGGAACACCTATATTAATAGTATTAGTTGTAGTAGTACTAGCAGATGTAATAATCCGAATTACTTATATCATTTTGATTTTGTTTGTAAACTTACATATTGAGAACGACATCTAATATATTTATGATTGTAAGCATTCCAGACAATCACCTCTGATTCCATAGTTATAAAACTTTGATAAAAGAATAATATCATGATCCACACAGTCAAAAGCTCGGCTCGGCTCAGGTCACAGAAAATGCCCATACTGGTACTTCTCCTTTTTCTATATAATTTACGAAAAAGAGTACTTCTAGTCACCCTAGTAACAAGTCAAAACCTCAGTCAACGGTTAAACTCCCCAGCTATGCACTTCCTCTGAGAGTTTGTAAGTAAGTATAACACATTTTTGAATCAAAATAGCACAAAATGTGAACCCTTTCCAACTAAAATGTGGTCAATTCTGATCAAGAACGATCGTGTAAAAACTGAAAAAAAAAAACGAATAACAATTAGGATATTTTATAGGGTAGCCATGACCACCCGCGTCGTTCTTCCTCGGCATAAAGGTGCCGCCTGTCACGTGATAGGAGAACAGTCGGTATAGCGCGCGGGCAATAAAGAGATACGTAAATAAGTAAATAGTAAATGTTCTAGAAATTCGAGTGTTTATTTGTGAATCTGCGGGAACATTAAACGCTACCAAAACAAAATACTGCGGCGCAACACCATCAACCGGGATTATAAAACAGCCACACACTGTGTGTTTGTTAGTGATGGGCAGAACCGAGGATTTTCGAGAATCGGATAATTGGTATTCGAATACTCCCAAGAATGCTTGTGTTTTGTTTTCTCATTGAAATCTACCAAGTTATATTGGATCCTCATTCGCGAATTGTTGCCAAGTCCCTATATACCGGGTGACACAGGCTATCGGGCCACCCCTGTAACTTCTGCATTCGTCAACGGATTTTTCTGAAATTCGGTACAGTTATATAAGCAACTATTTAGGATTTGATCACATTACAATCCAATATGGCGGACTTCCGGTTTTTCTGGAAATGCCAGCAATTTTGTTTTTTCAAATGGAACACCCTGTATATTTTTACATATTCAAGTTCAACAGGTCAAAACAAGTGCAATCTTGATGTCAAATGTCATTTATTCCACAGCCTACCTAGTTGAAAAATTATTCTAACTGCAAGGAAATTCATAAACTATAGTTGTTGATTTTTGAATGTATACAATTTCTTACTGCACCGAAAAACAAAAATGATATTTCATTTTGTTCCTTAATGTATGTTCTAGAGAAACGGGTAGGTGGCCCATAGGGGTTCCATTTGAAAAAAAAAATAATTTTTGATCAAAAAGTGATGTGGCTGAATTGATTCCTGGATAAGTGACACAAAAAATAATTTTTCAGGAAAAAATTATGTTCTTTCTTCTGTTATGTGTGACTCATTCTGAAAAGTCTTGACCACATCTCATTTATCCACGAGGTAAAATGAAAAAACAATGTTAATTTAATTTTTTTCGAAAAAATGACATTTGAAATAAAGATTGCACTTGTTTCGACCTGTTGAACTTGAATATGTAGAAATATACAGGGTGTTTCATTTGAAAAAACAAAGTTGCTGGCATTTCCAGAAGAACCGGAAGTCCGCCATATTGGATTGTAATGTGATCAAATCCGAAATGATTGCTTATATAACTGTACCGAATTTCAGAAAAATCCGATAAAGAAAGCAGAAGTTACAAGGGTGGCCCGATACCCTGTGTCACCCGGTATATGTTGTCAACAGTTCTTCCTCGTTCGTTTTTGATTTGCCTGGCTGGTATTGGAGCCCTAGAAAAGAAGGCGGTATGGAGGGTACTATCATCCGCGAAGCTGTGTACTGGACATGAAGTTGCTGGGGAGGGAAGCCATAAGATGGAAGCTTGGCGAGGAGTCCGTGGTCTCAGACTCGATCGAATGCCTTGGAGATATCTAGTACCACGGCTAAGGTTTCACCATATTTTTCAATAGATTGCTGCCATATATGTGAGACGTAAGCGAGCAGGTCACCAGTTGATCTCTGATGACGGAAGCCATATTGCCTATCGTTGATAATACCTGAATGTTCCAGCGTTGATTGATATATTACGCTTATAAGCGTAATATATCAATCAACGGTTCCAGGTATTTCCTGAGCTCGATGTTGATAGCTTTCTTCATGATCTTTGAAATAATAGATAGCAGTGCGATCGGTCTGTAGTTGCTAAGTAGGGTCTTTTTGCCTGTTTTGGGAACTGGTTGCACATGCACTTGCAATTTTCCAGTTGGACGGGAATATCCCCAATTTGTAAGACTAGTTGAACAACTTGCAGTGAACAGGTGTTAGTTCGGGAGCACATTTCTTGAGAACAATCGGTGGGATTCCGTCGGAGCTACAAGCTTTATTGGTATTGAGACCCAATAAAATCTTCCTTATAGTACGTTGGCGAAAGGTGATCTCTGATTATGTGCATACACATATTTTTATCTGAAGGATAATGCAAATTATCAACTTCGAAAGATTTTGTTTTCAAATTCTTATCGTGTGTGTTCAACAGATGTCAATGTTCGTTGTGGCATATAGCCAGGAAAGAAGTTGTTTTCTGTTGAATAAACCGAGAAAGAATTGCTAATTTCATCACATAGAGAATGCGTATTCTCATATGTAATATCACAAGATCCACAAGTGATACTATTTTGCCAGAAATATTCGGCATTGCTACGACAGCTTTGTTGCCAAATAATTTCGCCGAATGATATTGTTTATCAAAACTTTCGAGCCGTAGGTGAGAAGTTTTGGAACAAGGTTATGAGCGGAATTAAAGCAGCAAGCTGGAGTATGTTAATCGACGAATATTTCCACGAAAAATAGTATCACGAATTGTATTCGTATGAGTATTCCATGATTGAGACAATAAACGAGCGGCTCGCGAGAGTTGCGCACACTGCATCCATTATTCTGGCTTTCAACATAATTGACGTTTAAAATGTCCAAAATGTTATTGCTGAAAGAGTCAAATGAAAAAAAAATCTTTTGTTATCATCCAGTCAAGTTGATTTTGGATTCCAGTAACTGTACTAAGTACCTATTCTTCACAGCCAACAGTGATTTTTGGGATTTGTCTTTGTAATAAAGCTATACCTAACCAGATCATGATTCCAATGCAGATAATATGTTTCAAATTATGTAGAGTTAATAATATTTTGTGAATCTTTCCTCATCTGAATTATCACCCCGTTATTCCAAAACTAATAATAAACATCGCCTGGTGGTAAACAATCACACACAATCACAAAGACACATTCAAGATGTGTAAAGATAAATGGTGACATTACTCACGGACAAATATTGCCATTGTTACATTCATGGAACATTCATTACATG